AAACAGTCCTGCAGTGCCCCTCATGCCTGGGAGCCTGGAGAGGACAGGAAGGAACCCTGGGGTCGCTTCCCATCTATTGCTAGACTGTATTGCCTTAGACAGCCTTTGTGCACTCTGGTCTCAGTCCCTTGTCTGTGCTTGAGGAAGAGTGCAGAAACCATATCTAGGACCCTCTGATATCTAGCTAACTCCCTGGCTTCTGTCTCCACCAGATACTCTGGTTCACCTGTCAAGTAAACTTTCTTCTTGACTCGTGCTATCTCAAAACTAACCCATTCTAGCCTAGTGTACAGTTGATTTTTTTGTCAAAATGGCCTAAGCAAGTCAACTCCAATAGGGCAGAGATTGGGGGTAAGGCAGAATTATAGGGGGTACCACAAAATTCAGTAATATTTCAATGCAAGATTTTTATAAAGTCAGAATAAATGCAAAAAGACCATAAAAAATAAAATACTACATTTTAAATAAAGACAGAATCAGGATTTTCCATTTTTCTCTCTGCTTCAGGCATGGTACAGTACCCATATTTATCCTATCTTGCCTTAAAATGCTGGCCTTCTTATCAGCTCCTGTAAACCTAACTAAAACTCTTGGGAGTCATGATCGCCTCCTCACTTATAGGCAGAGAAGTCAGGTGATTTGCCCTGGTGGCTGATATTTGGCTACAGGCCATTTCTGCCTGATTCCCCACCCCTGCACCCCTTCCTCCGTGTTTGCCTAAGGATGTCCACGGGCCCCTGCTGGACACAAGTGAACATGTTTTTACTTTTAGTCATTATATTTTCATTTGAATATGTGATAGGAAAATATTCTAACATGTTAAATGATGAATCCATAGATACTTGTAAAGAAGCCAAATTAATTAAGATATGCAGGGTGCTGAATCAAGAAAAGTAGCCAAGGTGGTTGGCAGATCAGCAGAAATGAGGGATCTGAGGCCACTTACACGCTGCTTGACTTTGGGAAAGTTTCTTCCCCTTTCAAGCTTTGATTATTTTTGCTATAGAATGGCTCAAAATCACCATGAAACCTAGACATTCTTGGACTCGGGGATTCATTTTGCTGCTGTCTCTTAATACCTCTCAGGAAATCATGGTCACATTGAGGTCAGAGCAGGTGTGTCTCTACCCCTCCTCGTTCTCTTCCCTAGACTCGTCTGCTCCTGGTTTTCATCATCCATCTTGGTTGTCCAAATCTCCTAAGACATAGTTAATGAAACCAATGCCAGGAGGCTCGGCTCCACCCAGCCCTGGAATGATGCTAGTTCAATGTCTTTCCAGGCCTGGATCTTGTGGATCCAGGAATGAGCGAACTCCCCTGGGATACTAGAAGGGGTTGGACTGTCCTCCTATCTTCTGGTTTGTCTTGTCAGCACCTCCTGACCTTCACCCTAGTAGCACCTGCTCTTGAACACCACTTATATTAGGGCTTGACTACCTACTGCTGTGTGGCCTGGGAAGACTCACTGGATGATATGTTAGGTTAAAAATAACTGACCCTTGCAATTGTAATGAACATGTCTGAGGATTCAGGCACAATAACTGACAGATGATATTTGAGTCTTCTGTAATATCCCTAGGTCAAACCATTCACAGTACTAACCAAATTAAACTGAGATTTATTTCATGTGTGTCTGTCCCCTTGTGTGTTGCCCAAGAACACTTTGTTTTGGGATTAATTGTGCACCAATCTCCCCAGACCAAATGCTCCTTGAGAATGGACCTGTGTCCCAGCACCTGGCACCATGCTTGTTGAGCTTAAGTGACATCCACTGCCACTATTCCACCCACTGAGATCTTTGGAGAATAAGGCCTGCTCAGGATGGCAGCCAGCTCTGTGCTCCCTGCCAACTTCTTTATTCTTCTGTATTCATTCCAGAAGGGAACCAAGGTGAGACCAGGCTGGACAGCCTCACAAATGTCTCCATGGCAACAGCTTGTGTGTCACACACAAAGGATCCTTGCTAGTTATGCAGCCAAAGGTCAAGTTGTCTAGGTGATGCCTTCTTCTCAAGCACATTTCTCAGAACTGAGCTGGCTAGCCTCATTTTTACTCCTTCTTTACTGAACTTCAGGGTTGTAAAGGGGAAGACAATAACATAACCAACTGGGAAGGAGGAAGAAGAAGTATAAAAATGGGAAATTGATCTAGAAACCACTGGTCTGACATCCCTTTGATTTTTATGCACTTTTACAGGCCCCAATGTCTTAAGGCAGACACACCCCTTGCACTACATTTTCTCCCTTTTTAAATGAACCTCTTAGCCAATTCCAGGATTCTAAATTGCTTCCATAACCCACTGTATACAAACACATGCAGCACATCTTACCCTGGCTCCACAGAACAGCAAGAATAAAAGTAACCTGTGACAGATGTTCACAATGGGCAAGAAGAGAAAAGGCAGAGAAACAAGCAATGACCCCCAAACAGTGCCTCCCTGGGACTGGGGGATTTGTCTTTTTTAAAATATCCTTAACAAAGATCCTGCCCAACTATGTACATATCAGTTACCAAGATTCTTTTAAGTCCCAATTCATACTTCCCTCAACTGGAGACTTTGGTATAGCCCAAAGTCTAGCCTAATATCAAGTATTAGCCTAATATCAAGAGTGAATGGCAATATAGAGTAAGGATGTTGGGTTGTAATGATGTACACTCATCAGTTGTAACAAATGTACATTACAGTACAGGATTTTGATAGTGGAGGAGGCTGTGTGTACATAGGGGCAGAAAGGTACATGGGAAAGTTCTCCCTCTTAATTTTGCTATTTATAGTCTTTCAAATCACAACAAAATATGAAAAAAACAGCAAACAGAGGTCATTGCACTTGGTCAGGGTACATATTTTATCACTATATATATGGGTGTGGGTGTGTGTAGGTAGATATCGATCTAAATACCTTCTTGTATACACATAGGTACTGGGTCTCAAACAAATTATTCCTCTTTGTGGATCATGGTCAAAAAACCTTAAAAGCCACTGGATTACAGTAATGTTGATGACCCTGAGATTTCTTCAGATAACAAATATAATGCCTCTGTGTGGTTGTGGTTAAGATAGCAGATGTGAAAGTGGCTACAAAGGTAGTCATCTTATTCCGTGTTAATGTTTCTTCCCATGGATCAGACATTCATCCACCCATCCCAGAATCAGCACCAACCAAATGAACATGAGGAACAGATGTTAGGTAGGTCTTATTTTAAAATTATTGCCATGACTTTAAAGTGAAACCTCCAACCTTTGTGGGGTGTTTATAGCCCTGACTGTTAAATCAACTGGAAGTACCTAGTACAGAGGAACACAAAGGAGGGGCTTAATGGCCAAAAACTGCAAAAGTCAGAGAATAGCTGACTACTTGGGTGAATAAGTGAATGGATGGGTGAATCAGTCAGTCAATCAGTCATTAGTCTCCCCTTGACTAAGGGGAGAACAAAGGTAGAAAGAATATTACTTAGGGCAGTGGTAAATTACTGCCCTGTAGATGCAATTTTGGTGGGATTAAGTCCTCCTGTAGCTAACTTTCTACCTTGTGACACCCCTACTTACTGTGGTCCCACATAAATATGCACACCTATAGGACCTCTTCCAAAATGAACAAATACAGACTTTCTTCTGAGTAGGGCATGGCCATGAATTACCCCAGTTAGCTCCATGCCACACAGGCATTCACTCACTTGTTCATTGAGCAAGTGCACTGAACATTTGGACCATATACAGTGATTAACAGAAGAAAAGGACTCATTCCAGTGCTTGAGGAGTTCCAGTGGACATTGGAGAGAAGAAATGAATCAAGAGGAACTGAAGGGAAACTTCATTTATTGAGCACCTGTTCTTGCCAAGTATGTCATACACACACACACACCCTATCCCATTATTACACAGTCTGAACCCTGGAGACAAATTCCCTAGCTCTGGTCAGAGCCTTGGTCAATAGCCCACTATTATGGAAAGACAAGTGAGTGGCCCTTATTTTCTAATTGACATGATTGAAACCATGGAAGAAATTAAAGGAGTCCTACCCAGGGTTTAGGAGCAAATTCATATCCCATACTGATTTTTCAATAACAGTTTTCCCATCTTTGGCCCAGACACAGGTTCCTACAAAGCCACTGCCAATTCTTATAACAGTATTCTTCTGCAAGCTTGCAACACTGAGGCGAACCCTGGAGCTCCCGAGTGCCAATTCTGTGCTCTCTGTGTGCATTTCCTCCAGGATGCTACAGCATTCTTAAAGTTGCAAATCCTTCCTGCTTCAGGTCTTTCTCCTGAGAAGTGGTGATTTTAGGATTATTTCTGCCTGGGCAACCTCTGGGCACAGCTGAGAACAAGCTCATTGGCCCTGTTTTTTTTTTAAATTTCCTTTAGAGGAAAGAGGTAAATTCAGCAAGTGTCTGGTTGGGGCTACATAGCACCATGAATTTTCATACAACTGGCAGCAGCACTTCACAAGGTGCTGTCAGAGAAGCCAAGAATCCTCCTCCTGTTTGCAGTCAAGCTCTCCCAGCTTCAGAGGAGAGGAGAGGTTCACAAGCATTAGCATATAAAATAACAGTAATTAATAATAATATTAATAGTTATCTGACCAGCCGGCAGCATCTGTTGGTTTTAATTATTTTGAGGTTTCTCAAGAAAATTAAAGAGAAAGGAAGAAAGGGAAGAGGGCAAGGAGGAAGGAAGGAAGGAAGAAAGGAAGGAAGGGTGGGAGGGAGGGAGGGAGGGAGGGAGGGAGGGAGAGAGAGTGGTACATTTGGCAAGTGTCAGCCCCAATGCACCTGTCTTTATTATAAACACCTGGTGATATTCTATTATCCAGCATGTCTGAAATTTGATACCTTTTCACAGGAAGGAAGGAAGGAAGGAAGGAAGGGTGGGAGAGAGAGAATAAAGGGAAGAAGGAAAAAAGGATGGAGCTGAAATGTTCCAAGGCCTCTGGCTTCCCTTCAGGCTCTAAGTTCAAGTTTCAGAAATTCACCGCAGTCTTCTGGCTTTCAGGAATCTTCTAGGGGCCCTTCACATTACCCGGCCGGGCAGCAAGGCTGGCAAAGTAGGCACACTGGGAAGGGTCACACTGTCCAGGGGGACCGGGTGGGCCTGGAGGGCCAGGATGTCCAGCTGGTCCTGTCTCCCCTTGAGGGCCAGGACTCCCTGGAAGTCCATCTTTAGCATAGCCAGGTTCCCCTGGTTGACCTGGCCAAGGGAGCAAAAGAAGCAAAGTGGTTCACATCTCTTCTGGGAGCAAAAGAGCCTGCTTTCACTGCTCACAATGGACTTGAAATGTCCTTGGAGATAACATCACCTGATTTGGTGCTCCAGTCTGAGTTATGAGCACCAGATACCAGGAGCACCTGGACATGCAAGAAACGTGCCCTTCCTGTCTGAACTAGCACAGTGATCCAGGCACCTCTAGAGAGAGAAAATGAACAAGGGGAGGTCTAGGCGGGGACATGCTTTCCACCTGAGTCAGACGCGACACGAAAGCAGGCTTCTATGTTCTTATGTGGTTCTGGGATATGTGTCCGAACTCAGAGTTGGACACCAAGGCTTGATCTGTCACAATATACCAGTCTTTACAGATACCTGGTGACATCCCACTGTCAAATATCTAACTTGTTTCAAATCTTCTGCCTTCTTTCAGCTTCATCTACACATTAAACTTGGACCATATTAACTTAATTTTGCAAAATCATGGTCAAACACAACATCTAAGATATAAGTAAATAGCAATTATCCATACCAAAATTTTATGCTTCTATTCATCCATGTAGCAAGCATTATAAATACCATACATGATCAACCTATTTCCCTGGGAAGCTCAGTGTTAGTTGTAGTGGCCAATTCTGGCAGTGATATTCCTTATGAAGTATTAGTAAACATCTTGTCAGAATACTCCTTATAAAATAAACAAAAGGCAAATCTTAATGTATTCAGACATTTTGTGCATTCTAGTAATGCTTTGGTAAAAGTTATTTAATCTGTAATCCTGTGTACACCAACAGTTTTCAGATGGGCAGTGTTATTCATTCCTTCAACAAGGAACCACTGGAGTGTGTTTATTACCTTGACCTCACATTGGTGTAACTTGTTACAGATTACTATGTATTTCCTCTTCTAAATGGTTTCTCTCTTGTCTTTGTATCTAAATTTGTAATCACACTATTTAGAAAATATTTCTTATAACTTATTTGAAAGTAGGCAAACTGTAAAAAAGTATAGAGTATATCTATCTTCTCTAATAAAAATAATAGTATGTGCATATTTTAGCAAAATGGGAAAATCCTGAAAGAATAAATACTAAAATTAAAATTACCTATAGGCCCAAAATTCATAAATGACCTCAGGTAAGCATATGTATTAGAATTAAAATTTAAACTGCAGAGTGTTTGATAACACAGAGTTGCATTTCTTCTGCACTAGCACTTGCTCTTGCAGCATGACTGCTACACTCTGGAGATTTACCAATACAGCCACCAGGCAGGATAGTCAACTTGTCCCCATATTCCCAGGCATGTTGAATTCCAGAGCTGAAGGTGTCATAACCCGGGACCACCTCAGACACAGGACAGGTTACCACCTACCACAGGACTATTCTCAGGAATACTAACGGGACATGAACAAGTGCATAGAGAAAGAAAGAGTTTCATGTTCAAGTGAGTTTGGAAAACATGGGGTTAAATGAAACAAATGGGCCTGACATGGTGGCTCACTACTGTAATACCAGGAATCCAGGAAGTGGAGATTGTGAGGACTGAAATTTAAGGCCAGTCCAGGCAAAAAGTTAGTGAGACCCCCATGTGAGAAAAAGCAATCCCAATTACACAGGAGGCACAGGTAGGAAGATGGCAGTCAGAGGCTGACCCTAGATAAAAAGTGTGAAACTCTACCTAAAAAATAAATTAAAGCAAAAAGGGATGGCAACATGGCTCAATGGTAAAGTGTTTGCCTAGCAGACTCATACCCTGAGCTCAAAACCAGTACTACCAAAAATAAAATGAGCATTTTTCTTACCATGCTCCTTAGTTCTTCTAATAAGTTAATACACACAAGGAATGTTCCAAAGGGAGATACATCCCCAGCATGCCTGGACCTATTTAACCCTAAGTATTGATTCCCTTAGGACCATTTCTCAGGATTTTTGGTCATTTACTATTATTTTTATTGGTATATAATAATTGTACACTTATGGGTACAATGGATTCTTTCAGGACATGTATACAATGTGTAATGATCAAATCAGAGCAATTAGCATAACTTCAAACATTTATCATTTCTTTGTGTTGGGAACATTAAATCCTTTCTTCTAGCTATTTTGATACAGTCAGTAAGTTATCAGAGTTCTGATTCATGAAGTACACCTCAAGAACTTCAGAAACACTTGATAAAAAGTAAGTGATGTGTGTTCTGGTCAGTTGAACCCAGCCCGTTTTTGAGTCCCATGTGGCCACAGGCAGGAACACCAAGTGTGTTTATTGTAAATGTCTACCCACCCCTCAGACATCAGATACTTCGTACCTGGGATTCCAGGGGGTCCCATCTCGCCTCGGAGTCCAACTCCAGGTACACCTGGGTCACCTTTGGCTCCTCGCTCACCTGGTGAGAAAAACATGGACCTTTATTAGTGGAGACCCATGGCAAAGTTAGAGACAGGGAGTCCTGGTCTTCAAGCACAACCCCATGCTACTACAGGGTCAACTCTAAACTACCCTAACACACACACTCCCCCACCCTATACTCTGGTTTCCATTCACACACACACACACACACACACACACACACACACACACACACTCACATATACACAAACATACATACCTGCTCCAACTCAGGATATGCATATGTGAACACACACTCAAATATACAAATTTACAAAAATGTTCATTTGAGCACTCATCTACCCAGTCACCCACACTAGTAAATTTACACACGCTCTCATGTACACACACAGACTCAATCACACACATTCCCCTCCACACACACATAAGCACACATGCATGCCCCCATTCATGTCTGCACTTCCCCATGTTCTCAAAGCATTTTATCTGAACCTTCATGGAGCAAGAACTCAGTGGTAAGTGAACAAATTCAACATGCTAGCTGACATGGGTACATGCAATAGTAACCCAGATCTATTCTCAAGAAGTGTGAAATCTAATAAGCTAGATGAAACAGGACACAAAAAACATAATGTGATAAATACCATCCTAAGAACTTAAAAAATGACATATATTTAGAGGAGAGGGGGACCATTCCCTCTGGCAGGATATTTAGAAGATATTTGATTTAAGATTTAGGATTTGATTAAATTGTCTCTCTCAACTCTTTTTTCAGAATTCACTATTTTGCCATGTCATTTACAAAATACCTCCTGCATGCATCATACGTTTTTTTTGTAATCCAAATTTAAATTCTGCTAGTTCATGGAATCCTTAGACCACTCACTTCTACTACTTTAGTCGTTACATTTCATCAGGATTCTGCCACAGTCCAATGTTTTCTGCATTTTATGCTTTCTTATGGCTAATCACTTCATATATTTTGTTTTATGGATTAATACGAGTAGGTTTAGGACACACAAATTTAACAAAAAGCCTTTCCAACAGAAGAAAGTTTCTAGGGAATGAATGGATAAGTAAAAGGACATTGGAGGTCAAAAGTGACAGATGCAAGGGTCATTCATTTCCTTAACTCCGGGTCACCCAGAGGCGGCTGAAATGACACCACACCCCCTGTGCCTTCCTCATCAGAAGGGAGTGGTTTTCAGGCTAGGAGTCTGGCGTCATGCTTCCTCTATGCTCTTCACATCAGCCTCCCTGCAGACAGTCAGTGTTAATCTGCTTGCGAGAGAGTGGTAGGCTCTTTCCCTTAAAGGAGAGACCTACTGCTGTCCAGAGCTCCAGTGGCCAGTTGTGTCACTCTTCCTGAGAGCTGGACAATTAGTGGTCAATTTTAACTACAGTTCAAAGAGTTAGACTTCTCCCCAAAAATCAATGAACCAATAAAGAAGTGGGCAACTGAACTAAACAGAACTTTTTCTAAGGAAGAAATCCAAATGGCCAAAAACACATGAAAAAAATGCTCACCTTCCCTGGCCATAAAGGAAAGGCAAATCAAAATCACATTAAGATTCCACCTCATCCCTGTTAGAATAGCTATCATGAAGAGCACTACCAACAACAAATGCTGGCGAGGATGCAGGGAAAAAGGAACCCTCATACACTGCTGGTGGGAATGGAAGCTAGTACAAACACTTTGGAAAAAAATATGGAGGCTTCTTAAAAAACTGAACATAGATCTGCTATGTGATCCAGCAATCCCACTCCTAGGGACATACCCAAAGGAATGTGACTCAGGCTATTACAAAAGCACCTGCACACTCACGTTTATTACAGCACTATTCACAATAGCCAAGCTATGGAAACAGTTAAGATGCCCCACCATCAACAAATGAATCAAGAAAATGCAGAATTTATATACAATGGAATTTTATTCACCCACAAAAAGAATGAAATTTTGTCATTCGCTAGTAAATGGATGGAACTGGAGAACATCATCTTAAGTGAAGTTAGCCAGGCTCAGAAAATTGCATGTTCTCCCACATATGTGGATTAGAAGCCTAAAACAAATGCAGTAATATTATTGGCCATGGGTCACACACTACGGGGAGAACACACACAGGAGAAATAGGGAAAGGAAAAGAAACCTAAACCTTGAATGTGGTTGATGTGCTCCCTGTTGAGGAGCAAATAAAGTAATCTTAAACTGTCAGAGGCCACTATGGGAAGGGGACCAGGAAGTAGCAAAGAGGTCCGGTAGAGATGAACCAATGTGGATTGCAATCCACAAGTGCATGGAAGCAAAGCTAGGAATCTCTCTGTATAGCTATCATTATCCTGAACTAGCAAAAATGAGATGTCTCTCTTATTATCTCTTATGTTTTCTCTTCAACAAAATTGAAGAAGACGTTGGAACAGGTTCTGCCTGGAAGCTAGGGGGCAGTTAGGGAGGGGTGGGGGGAAAGGTGGCACAAACAATGCATACACATGTAAATATGAAAATGATAAAATAAAAGGAGAAGAGAATTAAAATGTAGAAAGAAACAAACAAAAAGGAAGCCAGCATTTAACGCCCAGTACACAGAGATTAAATGTCCTATTCTTGTGTCAGTTGTATCTTGGGTGGGGAAAAGAGGAGATCATTTGTATTTACCAACTGAAACTTGAGTAGGGGAGATGAAGAAAGAACAAGAAAGTAGGAGGGAATCGATTCAATCTTTTTAGCAGAAGAATATTTTTGCAAAAATGTCAAGTATGAAAATCTCTTAAACATATGAAGAAATTACATGACGCCAAAATTCAGGGTGTTCATCAAGCTAGAGGAAATGGGAGCAGAATGAATAATGCAGGATCCATGGAGTGTGCACCTCACACCAAGTTCCTCCTCAGTCCTCATGAGTCTATCAAACACCCGTCTTCCTTGTGTACACTCACCTTTGGGACCTATTGGTCCCGAGGGTCCTTCTAAACCTCCCTGGCCAGGTCGGCCTGGCTCCCCAGTGGGGCCTGCTCGGCCTGGAAGCCCATCTTTTCCAGGAGGACCTGGGGGCCCAGGTCTGCCTTGAGGGGCCTTCACGTGTGCTGGAGGCATCTGGGTCAAGAGGTAGGCGAGTTTGGCTATGGAATGGGAAAAACAGAGACTTTTCATGAAGAGTGGATAGCTGACAACGGTTGGAATGGCAGCAGTTTGCTGCAAAGCTAGGAACTCAGGGGACAAATACAACCGTAAAAACAAAAGTGAGAACACCACCATCGGCACACACACACACAACACATGTGCAGCATCTGTACGCAAACTTCTGCCTGGGCAGGCTACAGGATGACTCAGCCAGTGGTGACTGTCACTGTCCTTGCAGCCTGGCTGCCTGGGCAGGATCCCAAGGTGGAGAAGGGACCACAGGCAGCCACTGACAGCCTTGCAGCCTTGGTCAGCCACTGGACCTCTCTCAGCCTTGGTTTCCTATTCTGTAAAAGGGAGACAATGAAGTAACACTACTTCACCAGCAGGTGTGAGGATGGAATAAGTGAGATTATTCCAATAAAACAGTGGCAGCTAGAATCAGCACTGGTAGTGGCAAAACTGCCAATGAAAGCAGCAACAGTGTCAACAGCAGCAGCAGAATCAGCAGCGATGGTATTGGTAGTGTTGCAGAGCTGAAGGAGTACTAGCCGTCCTGCCAGCAGTAGTAACAGCACTGGAAGTGGCAGTGTTAATGGCAGCAGTATTATCAGGTTTGGCAGCAGCGGTGTTAACAGTAGTCTCAGCAATAGCATAGCACCGACAGTCACACTGCCAGTAGCACTGGGAGTAGTTACAGTAGTACTACCGCTGGCAGGTTGGGCAGTACGAGCAGTATGGACAAAAAGCAGTAGTAATAGTCCTGGCAGCAATAGTGCCACAAGCGTGAGCACGAGTAGTAGCAGCAGTAACCATGGTACTGGTAGCATCTGCAATAGCACTGACAGTAGCGATATCGGCAGCAGTGGTGGTATACTCTTCCTGGTGATGGGAACAGTATTGGCAGTGTTAGCCACAGCAGTAGCAGTTGACGTAATTTTCAGTTGGGGAAACTGAGGCCTAGTGGGTGTAAGTGGATTATGTAAACTGCTTAGTGAGTTTTTCTTTCTGATTGTCAAATTCCTCATCTTAAACCAAAGGGTAGATTTGCTGGTCATTAAGGATGCTTACATGTCTACAGTACGAAAATTATAGAATTAATTCGAAACATAAAGGTCCAACTGCTGGCCTGGTTTGCCTTTCTGTTGGGCAAAGGATTTGATGGCCACCAAGAGACACTTTTGTTAGCAGTCACAGAAAATCAGGTCCAAATGTCCATCCTGTGGATGTGTGTACCAGCATTTTAGCACTAGAACCAAGGAAGACTGGGGTCCTATCACTGCCTGGCTGATTCTTCCCTCCTACAGCTCATTTGCAGGGCACCAAGAGGATGTGCCCTCTACTTCTGTGACCTTGGCAATTTGCTCAGCTTCTCCGGAACTTGATTTTCCCATCTTTAAAGTGCAGTTGATGCTCAGTTCTCATAGTGTGGAAGAAAGGATTTGACTCAGCAGAAGCTCCATGCAGACCAGTTCAAAAGAGGTCTTATCCTAGCTCTTCGCTGGAAACTCCACAAGGGAAGAGACAGTTCTGTCTTTAACAAATCGAACACCCAGGAGGCTGACTTGGAGATCTCCACACACATCCTTTAAGCTTGTTACAACCAGCAGGGCACACATCCCAGCCTCATCTCCGTCCTTCCCTCACCTCCCTCACTTTTACAGCCCTCCCCTTGCTGTCTGCTCCTGGTAATGCTCTTTTGCTCTCTTGTGCATGGACATGGGCTATATTCACCTGAACTCCAAAGGGGCAAAGAACAGGGTCACCTTTTTTACTTCTGTGTCTTCATATACAGCGTACATGAGAGGTGCAAAATAACTGCGACACAGATACACTATAACAGCAGCCTCCCCTTTTGCCCATTTCTGCCTAGAAAGTAGAGATTTTTCTGTTTTTCTGCAAACAGTATCATCTGTGAGTTTTTTCTCTTAAGCCTCTACTGCAGAGAAAGCGGAAAAGGTAATTATTCAAGTGGATTTGGTGGTGCAAAACATCCAACTAGAGTGTGAAGCCAGCCATACACCTCCAGCTCTTCAGCCTTAGGTAAGTTGCTCAATATCTCTGCTCCTTGCCATCCCTCAAACAATCATGTGTGTGCCCATGCTGAGACACCCTCTTGTCTCTGAGGAAGTGAGGAAGCCCACACGTTGATGTTAGTGCTGCTACCATTCTACCGTCCCTCCCCAGCAGCTGCTAGGCACCAGACCCAGGCTGGATAAGGGATTTAGCAATAAATCAAATACTGAAGATTAAAGCACTGTGCATTCCCGTTCCTCTTGGGGTCTTCCCATGTGGTGTTCCAAAGGTGTAGGGTCTCATTCCATCTTTCAACCTGAAACTCACATGGCCCTTCCTTAAGAAGTCTTCCTTCTCCATTCTCTGCCTCTGGGCTATCTTAGGAATACTCACCTATCCTTTTCCAATGTCCTCTGTGCCAAAGTAAGATACAGAACTTTTCTTATGGAACTGAAGTTGTTTTGTCTATTTACTGATCTATCTCTTCCCCTAGACTCTGAGTTCCATGAGGTCCACACAGGCCTCCACAAATCATTGGATTAGATAAATGATTGAAGGCACAGAGTGTACAAACTATCACGGCAGAGTGGACTACAGAGGATGGGCTCTCCTTCACTACAGGCCATCAAGCAGAAACTGAAGGCCCACTAAGGAGCTCTGCAGAGGGATCCAGAGTGTCGATTAACGGCTGACCAGTCTTCTGCATGCTCCTCAGCCTTGCTACCCCACATTTGTTTGTCCCTAGAGTGTTTTTCAAACTAGACACATAAATACTGAAGGATGCACACAAGGACTGTTCCATGGGGCTCCTACCTGAAGTCTGAAATAAAGTCAAGCTACTCACTTTCCAGCTGCTTCCCAAGTTCTTCCTGAATCAGCCGCCTCAGGGTGTCCAGGGATGGAGATTCGCCCTAGGGGGCAGGGGAAGTAGAGTTTTATTCCTCTTCCCAGAGGGCTTAGGGAACCAAGAAGCTCCTGGGTAACCTATACACAGAGAAGCACATCCTCTGTCTAGTCCCTTACACATTACAGTCCCTTCCTCCACCTCATCAGCAGACAGCACCATGACCTTTGGCACAGTGACCTGGACACTGGGCTCCCTGAGCCACTATTGCCCTTCCCTCCAAAATCTCCAGCTCATTCACTGGATTTCCTTCTGGCACAAACCAATGTGCTTATGAATTCACTCTCATGTTCTTCCCGGTACAGGGCTTTGGTGGTGTGTGCCCAGTCTCCCTCTGCCACAGCCCTGTTCACCAGAGCACAAGTTATAGGCTGCCTCATGCATGAACTTATGTTTGACTCTCTGGCCTGGCCTCTTGGACCCTCTGGTTCCTAGAGTCCATTTTGTCCTGCTCTGGTCACTGCTAGCTCTAAGCAACTGTCTGATAAAGTCCTGATGCTTGGTCCAAAGAAGATGAAGCGTTTATCAAAGAGGCAGATGCTATCTCCAAGCTCACACATGGCAGGGATTCTGAGAAGGACCTAGGAAAGCAGTCTTCATCCCCTATTGAGCTCACCCTTTCTGTCTTACTCCTCCAGGGCAACATCTCCCCTCAAGGATGGGGTCCTACTGTACTCATCTCTGTTGCCCTAGCACCTGGAATAGAATGGATTCTATTTCCTTGTTCTCTTATACTTAATCTTTAGTGACAGCCTCAGACATCCCATCACTACTCACAGCAGCAGGTCATGGAAAACTTGGCAAGGTACCAAGCGAGCTTTGGAAGCCAATTGAGTCCTCCTTCCTTGCACCTAAACTTGGACAGGAGGCAGGTCCTGGCTGCCCAGCCTCTTTCAGGGTGGCCAAAACTCAGACTAACTACAGCCACCAGAAGTTGATGAAACCACAGAGCATCAGAGTTAGCAGGAGTCAACCATCCCATGCATTGTGAACATAACCAAGTGGGCCATGGAGGGGGAATGGGACTTCACAGGGCCTCTGAGACCAACCTTATCAGCACACCCATGAAGGAAACCTGGCTTTTATCATCTTATAGCCAATGTGCCTATATTACAAGGTCATGTAAATAAGAGTTCTGCCACTAAAATAAAATATGCTAAAAGAAAGAAGAAAATACTACTCTAAACCAGCCTTTCTTTTTTACATTCAGCAAAAAAAAAAAAAAATGAATGGAAGAATGAATATCCAGGAAGGCATAGAACAGTAAGGCAAAGTAGAAAATGGATGGCAAGCCATCCCACAGCGAAGCTCAAGTCATGATAGCCCATCTGCTCAGTCACTTTTTGCACAGGGTCCTGGAGCAAAAGGGTTTTAAAGCCCAAGGAATGAAGCATTGAGACTTACTGCCCCTGGGACAGAAGGCTGGACAGAGGGCCTCTATTTCTGAGCATCTCTTGATTACTGAAACAAGATGGTAACTGGATATTCCACCTAATCATAACAAGTTAAAAATCATTTTCTCATTCTTCTTTGCAGCAAGGAAAGGGCAGGCTCAGAGAAGGGACGTAACCTGTCTCCTGTCGCATAACCAGTTACCAGTGGCCTGGGATCTGCCACCTGCTCCCCGTGAAGTTCACACACTTCCCTGACTTCCCCCCAAGTCCTCAGCAGCCCCACATAATGTAGCACCTTACCCTCAGTCCTGGAAACCCTGGCTGGCCTGGAGGCCCCGGGGGCCCGGCTGGTCCACTCTCTCCAGGTGGCCCTTGGAGGCCCATAAGGCCTGTGTGGCCTTTATGACCTGGAATCCCAGGGTCTCCAGGCTGGCCCTTCCCACCAGGAAGTCCTTTGTCCCCTTTGATCCCGGGATCTCCCTAGAAAGAAGAGAAGGGTATCAGAGAGTGGGTTCAGGATGGAAGGTGACCACACATGATAGGCAAGTGCTACTGCTGGAGGTCCTGTCCTCTGACTCCTGGGATACTGTGACTTGATTATGCAGAACATGCCACAGAGTTATAGAGGTTTGGAAAAGAACTTTAATTACCAAGTTCCAATCAGAATGGAAACCACTCATGTGGCTATCATCTAGGGGAAGAAAGAAATGGTTCACCCATGTAGCAGAGTACACTGCAATATTAGAACATGAGGAGACTTGCCAGGGACAAGGTTAAGGTTCATTATTAAGGGAAATATTTGAGGTGCTGAACAGTATCCACCGAATTTAAAAAGTGGGGAGGGATAAAAATCTGTACTATATTTGCTTGGTATACATAAAATATTGTGGCAGGCAACATTGGTGGTTAATTGTAAGCCATGGGGAAGAATGGGTGGGAACACCACTATCACTTTTTAATCTTAAGAATTTCTCAATCCCAGGCTGTACCCCAAAAGTGCAGCTCTTGGTCTGATTAGAGAAGGCTGCTGGGCCATACAGACTGACGTCCATGCAGCCAGCCCACTCCTGGTGTGGTTTTGTCCTCCATCAGCTGCAGAAGAGTGCCCTATCTCACCAGATACCCCCACACCTCTCCCTCGGCTCCAGTGAGTTCATGGAAGATGATTTCATGGAGCACCCACTGTCTGGGACCCTTTCTCCCCACCTGATCCAGACACTGAAGTACTGGATCAGTGACTTGGGAATATGGCAACCCCTGGGCAAGGAGTCCAGTGCTCAGCACTTGGGTAGTACAGTGTTTCTGGCCAGTGAGCTCTGGCAGCCAGTGGGTCTGTAAACATGGTAGTCACATTAATGGCCTCAGAGTGTAATGGGATTCTAGTACTAGGATATAGCAGACAGAGGGAGGAATAGGGAGAAATGGAAGAGAAACAAGATAGTAACTGGAAATGTGGCACAGCCATGGTTATGGCTGAAGCCTCTGAGAAAGAAGACTATATGGTTCTGAAACCATCTCCAGTATGAGTACTTAAGTGGAGAACTGCAGGACAAAAACCATGGAGAAAGCTGAGGAAGCTAAAAGCAAAGGTATATGCATGTTTACAACACTCCTGGATTCTGTATGAACAGACTCTTAGGAAAGATTAAAAAAAGAAAAAAGAAAAACAGGTACAGGCAGAGGCCTAGGAAAGGGGAGGAGGCTGCTTAAGGGGTAAGATGGAAGAGACCCATGACTTCCACTGCTTTTCCTTTTTTGTAGTTTTCATTATTTGACTATGTCCCTGCATTAGTTTTAAATTTTTAACAAGGGTGAACATGATTAAAGTATATCATACGCATGTATGGAACTATCATAATGAAACCCCCAGTCTAATTAATATATGGTAATAAAAATTTGAACAATAATCACAAAATCAGTGCACTAAAAAATTAACTTATCTAGACTCAAGGGAGTCACCGCAGTTTTCCAGGTATGATGCATTTCATGAGGACACAGCAATCCATGGTGATCTTGAATTCATTTCTATAAAAGCCCTAATCCATTAGATGCCAGTCCCCACCACACACACTGCACCACATTTCCTACTCATGAAGTGTCTTCATGTCACTTTGCGGTAAGAGGACTTGTCCCCTATTTCAAATGTCCCAGGAGTATAAAGGAATGGGGAGTCTAAGGGCTCCGTGGCAGTGGTCCCAGAAACCACTTAACAGAAGAAAGACAAGCTCTCTGATTATTGATCAGATGTTAGTGAAGAGATTCCTGTGTGTGTCTGAATTTCCTGGCTCCCAATCAAAATGCCAGTCCATTCTCTGCAGCAATGGCTTCCACGGGCTCCTGAGTGACACACTGATTGAAGAACCAATGCCTTCTCAACCACAGCCATGCTCAGGCTCCATCACTGAGGAACCAACAGTCATGGACAGTGGGATCAAAGCCATTGGAAGGAGAAAGGGGCAAAGGTGAGCCGCCTTAGACCCTGCTTCCACATAGCTCTCCTGGTTGCAGGAGAAGCCTGCCAGCCCACCCATTCAACTTGCAAAGAAAGCAGAGATAAATTCTTTGAAGAACCTTAAGAAACAAGCAGGAGTGGAGTGGGGTTGGCAATGATATCCAAAGGCAGGACCGTGGGCAAATGAGATGTGTCAAGCCACTAAAGGGAGCAGCAGTCTTGTGAGTGTGAGGACGCTCCCTGTCCCCCTGCAGCTTTTCTGCAGGGAAAATGACCCCCCATTGTTTTTTTGAGAAATGAAATGTAAAGAAAGGCTTTCTGAGCGTGGCGCCAAGACGACTCATTATGGGAAAATCTGTTCCCTTGTCACCTCCAGTGACAAATCTGGCTCCCAGCAAATTGGCACTAGGGGAGCCAGGCACATCATGCACACACATTTGCACATAGCCAGAAGGGAATCTGTCAAAGTCTCCCAACACTTGCCTTTGCATTTGTAATTATGATCATGATTTTATTTCTCAAAATCACAACCAAAAGAAAAGGAAAGAAACACTGCCTATAATAATATTGGGGAGAAAAAGCCACCGCCCCTTGGGCTTGAGATATTCCAGGTAACAGAAGTCACTACATGAGATGGCTGGCCAGTAGGGCAAATGCCAGCTTCAAAGTCCCCTTGCCACTTTGCAAAAGTCACATTAAGGTTACTCAAGGTGACTGTACTCCCCACTTACCCTTTCTCCTTTGGTTCCTGGCTCTCCAGGCTTCCCAGGGGTCCCCTGCAATTAGATAAGAGGACTGTGGTCATTTCTTCAGGGCCATCTGTGCTGGCAGTTTGTTTTATTGGTTCTTCCACACAACTGTGTCTGATGACAAGAGATCTAAGAGCTCTTATCTGATTTCTCCATATGGGATTGGTCACTTGTTCTTTACTCCTTTTTTCCTGCCCCTGCCCACCCCTGACCAAGATGGTGCCAGCCCATAGTCGAGCTTCTGTCACTTCCTCCTCTACCTCTGTCAGGATAAACCCCACCTCCCTTGGCATACCCCCGTGGGATGATATGAATTGACCTTTGATAAATTCTTATTGCCATTGGGGCCCTGGCTGACTTTGACTGGAGAGTCAAACCAACGATCTTGGGTCCCCAACACAGGTAGCATGTCCATCTGACATTTCCTGGCCTCTGCTGGTCATCTTCCCTGTGCCTGTGGCATGCTCCCACCTTCTGCCCAGGCCTTGCCCAGACCTCTCCTCCAGGAAGCTACCTACCCCTGCCCAGCCAGCACATAAAGAGCAGCACTTTTCTAGCTTCCCACAGCATCAGGAGAGCACTCACAGCAGAAATGAGGAATACACCTTTACAGTCTCCACTGCTGGGATACCCAATTTAAAAATACCAAGACCAGGGCTTACTACTGGGGGTGCAAGTTCAGCCCAGAGGCTGGTGTCCCTTAATCAGGAAGACAGAACCTACATTGGTTTGAGAAAGCAAACATACTTTTGAGCTCTTCTGAGCCTAACCAAATCTGCCACCCCCATCCAGAAACATCCATCCCATGCCCTTGTGCAAGTGACACCTGAGCCCTGTGACGCATTCAGAGGAGCCGGGAAGGTATGGTCCTTGTCCTCAGGGCGTGCACAGCCTCACTCAGAAGCAGACATGGGCACAACTGATTCTAATACATTGACAGAGGGTTTGACTTCTGTTACAGAGGCTCAAGAAGGTCCGATGGGAGCCCTGGGGAGAAAGAGCGTGACATTGCCTGCTGGGAAGAACATGCCTGGAAGGTCAGATGGGCTCCAACAGGGAGGGGAGGTGGGAAGGGAAAGATGCACCAAGTGGAGAGAAGAGTCAAGATCAGGCCTTGGTGATGGGGAAGCTAAACTTATATTGTGCATGGTCCAGCAAGAGGCAAGAGCTCATATTGGAGAGAGACTAGGGTCAGACAGAGGAAGCCCTTAGAGACTTGCTTAGCCTGGACTTTATTGTAAAAGGAAATAGGGGCCAGAGAGAATTTGAATAGGCAGCAGCCTAACTACAAGCACCCTTGGAAATGGGAGCCTGGGGTACTTTCCACCTCTGGGCCAGGAGCAGATGCTTCCCAGAAATGGAGCCTACTGGTCCTGTTTCAAGGAAAATACCCACTTAGGAAAGTAGCCCCAAAACAGCATGATAATTGGTCTTCCTTTTTCAAGAAGGAAGGTACAGACTTTGAAATGAGTGAGCTAGCTGATTTCCATGGAGCTCTTCTCTTTGCACTTGTCCATTCTTCTGCTCATCTCTCATTAGAGACTTTTGGTACCTGCTGTGGGCTGGGCTCCTTTGCTGGGGCAGAACACCGCAGGGTACTCAGGCTGGGGAGGTGGGCATCTGCTTTGTCTCTGTGGTCAAGGGAAGTTGGCATAAGGAGAGTGCAGGAGAAGGTTTTTTGAAAAGGGCCCTGGAAAAGAATTTGCTGTTTGGGGAACTAAAAGGCCAGAGTGACTGGAGCTCAGAGATGGAGGGGCAATGAGAAGAAGAGGGATGGAAGCATCTTGGAGTCCACTGAGAGCACAAGGGGAGGCCAGGGCTGGGAATGAATTTAACATGCCATGAAGTGCTTATGTCCCACAGAACTCCAGCCACTGGGTGGAGAGGGGCAAGACCAGACAGAAGAAACCCACTAGGCGGCAACTTCAATGGTCCAGGTGAGATAGGATCACCGGTTGGACTAGTGTCCACGTGGAAGCTATGGGGAGACCTGGCTACCTCTGTGAGGAACTGCAAAACTGTGGTAGGATGTGTTGATAAAGCAATGCTGAGGAATGGCTAAGAAAAGGTACACTTGCAGATGATACCCCTGGTGGCTACATAATTTGTAAGTTTGCACAAATTAAAATGAGTCCCTTGTTTAAAAACAATTCATAACAGCAACACAGTGACCATAGAACATTAAATCAGGTGGAGGGTCCCTGTTAAAGTTCAGCGCCCCTTAGCCTGCCCAGGCCTCTCAGACCTGGTGCAGGGCCTGCACGTCCCCCAGGAAAGGTGGCCAACAAGGAGAAGGGTGGGATACTTGCCTCCTTTCCTGGAACTCCTTTCTCTCCTGCTTCTCCCTACAAACAGAACAAAGGATCAATTGGTTTGGTAGCATCAGTGCAGTGTACATTACCTGATTTCCTTCAAAACAGACATTTTCACTCAAGTCACATTCTTGCAAAAACAGCAATCGATGATCTACCTGACCAAGGACATTCCAAATAAGGCTCCGTGGCCAGCCATTGCAGACGGCAGAACTGTCCCAAGATGAGAGGGGAGCCTCCAGTTCTGGGCTCCTTGTCAATGGGATGGATGCAACTCTACAAGAGGGCCTCTGGGTTATCAATTTTGCCAATTGTCTGGTTGTGAAAGGGAGGCTACTCTGAGAACCAGGTTCACAGTATATGAAATAAGACTTTGGGATCTGAGTTTGAATCTTGGCTCCATTACTGCCTGTCTCTGTGACACTGAATCTTACATCTTCTAACTTTGCTGTGCCTCAGTTTCTTCACCTATAAAATGGGAAGACACCTGCCTCATGGGGTGCCTTGAAATTTAAATGCATCAGTATTTGTAAGATATTTAGAATGCATCAGTATTTGTAAGATGCTAGAACATAGTAAGGGGTAGACAAATGACCCACTATTTTCATGATTAAATTATTATAATTATTATTAAATTATTATATTAAATTATTATTCCAAACATGGAATAATTATTCCAAATCTGGCTGCTCAGTGGCAGCCAGACTAGTAACACAGGGATAGAGAAGAAGACAACTGAGTGAAAACATTCAAGTAAAAGTTAGGGGCCAGGGCTGTGCAGAGCTTGGGCAGCAGGATCAAAGAGAATGAAAGAGGGGACACTTCTTAAATGGGCTGGGCATGACTGGCTGTGGGGGCACCCAGAGGGGGAAGACTTAAACTGGAGTAGGATTAACAGGAACATAGAGACGCTTTCTATGCTGGCATGTTCCACACAACCCTCAGATATCCATCAGCAGTCCACAGTGTGAGCCATGGACAGAGCATACTAGTGGCCTTATTGTTTGAACCCTCAACATCCCTTTTTCCAGAAACCCAAGTATCATCCAACAGCTTCTCTCTGCATCAAGGTATCAATCTGGAACACCCAGACTCAAGAGCAGCTTGAGGACACAAACATACCCTGTGGCCTTGACATGTTCTGACTCTGCCACCCAAACTTGCCCATCTTTAAAATGCTTTCTGAGGAGACTTCAAAGTTCCTAGATCATTACCACCACTGTCCCACCACAAACACCACCACCATCATTTACATTTACGGAGCACCTGGTTGACCTGTGTATGCCTCTAACCCCTTCACCTGGACCATCTCACTTAATTCTTAGAGGTGAGTGAAGTTGTAACGCCATTTAAGTAACAAGGCAGCCCAGGCACAGAGAGGTTATGGAACTTTCCTGAGGTCTCACAACTGGGGAGGGTAGGATTGAAAACCTCAAGCAGGTATGACCCCTGAGTCCTCCACTCTCACCTACGTCACAATGCACTTTGACCCCACATCTCATCCTCACGACCTGAGCAAATGGGCTGAGGACTCAGGAGGTGGTAGGAATGGTAGTGAACAGAGCCAGGCATCTTGGGTCCCCCATCTGGGTCTCTGCTTACCGGAGGCCCACGGGGACCCAGGAAGCCAGGAAGTCCTGGGCTGCCATTTTCTCCCTTGTTTCCCTTTGGACCCTGTGAAGGGAAAACAGGGAGTTAATTCTTCAACATCAAGTGCCAATCCAAACATATTCAGAACCTTGAAACCCTCCCAACTCTGAGGCCCTGAGATGCCCAGAAAATCCAACAAAGGACCCCTTCTCTGTGATGGAAAAAAATGGGTCAGAGAGAGCTGCCTTTTGCACAGCTGTCCCTGGTCCAGCAGGAGGATGGTACCCACCAGGGAGACCAAATGCCTTGACTGGCGGGTTTCTGATCACCCTATGTGCACAGTGCCAGCAGTTACTTGCCCAGGGCCGGTCAGTCCATGGCTGTGAGCCCATTGGCCTACAGCTGTGATCCCTGGTTCACCACACTTGCGGATGGCCTCCTGAATATTTTAGCAAAATAGAAATACAAGCAGCTGGGCTGAGAGTAGACTAGTGACCAGGCTTCAACTTACCCAAACCTAGAACCCATCAAAGAAACATATTCCCTGCTCCAAAGCCTGAATCCTCTATCCAGTGAGCAGGACTCTGCCAGTCAGTCTCTCCTACCTATCACTGATCCTTCTTGCTCTCATGTCCCCACCTCTATTTCCATGCTGCTATCTGCAGTGGACATGATTGCTCAGCTAGATCCTGACATTCAATTCTTAAAACCATTGAATACCCACTATACAACCTTATTACACATTTTTTTAGAGTTTAATGGCTGTAGAAGCCTTTGACTGTAGATTGCAGAGTACCTGGTGTATAATCACATGTATTATAAATTTTGAAAAAGGTCCTCCCCAGATTCTTTAAATTCCAGTCTGTTTCTACCATTCAAACCCAGATTTCCTCAACAGTCCTCCCTGGGATAGAGACTAGACAACATGTGAGACCCATGATTCCTCAGAGCTCATCTCATGCCACCATGTAGCCAAAGAAAACTACTCACTGGAGTTCCTGGATGGCCAGGGTCTCCTGGGGAGCCTGGTGATCCATTGCTACCCTGGTGGAAGAAACAGAAATGATCATTCTGCCAGGACTGTCAGCCAGGGCATCACAGAGAAAGACAGTGAGACAGACATTGTTGGAAGTGGAGGACCTGATTTCACACAGGCTCTGTTCTCCCTAGGGCTAGTATGGCTCTCAGGAAACCACTTCATTTCTCAGAGGATGTTTCTCAACTTGTAAAAAGAGCTTGTAACATTTAATTTATAACATTGTTGTGGAACTAAATGAATCTGTGGGCATGGAAAGGCCTAGCCAGTGACTGGTGCCCACAGAACAGGCATGAAAAATAATCATGACCACATTCATTCATCCATCCATTCATCCTTCAACTCAGATGCTGTGTTAAGAAACAAACCAACCATCTCACAGAACCCAATTTGGGAATAATTGCTCACATCGCTGCATGCTGCTCTTCTGTTGGCATGCTACTCCTCACCAGGGGCATCATTACAATCCCACTTAATAGATGAAGATACCAAGGCAGAGAGGGAAAATGGCAAAGTATGCAGTCATGTGGCTATGGAATGGAAGGTCTACCTCCTCACCCCCCTGCTCCAGGTTCCAAGACTGGCTGTCTTAGTTCTAATATTACTTAATGTGAGTGAGGTTTTCTGCACATTTACAATTTTGACAAAACGATTCACCAGTACAATTGCTAGTAGAGTAAAAATCAGAAAGCTGAAGAATGCTCCTCCTAGCCACCTTTCAGGCTCAAACAAGTTCCTATTAAGCCTCAAACTTCCCCAGGATGAGCTGGCTGCATACTCTGCCCACTATGCTTCCGGCTTTCAGGACTGATTCCCACCAGATTTTTGACTGTGCCCAGGTCTCTTCATGCCACAGCTAACTCATGGCAGAGGCTGTGTCTTGCACATCCAGCATCTAACACGGTGCCAGACACAGGAGACACTCTGCTGAGTGAATGGGCCAAAAACATCACCAAGCTCCCACTCTGGATTCATCCTGTAACCACAAGGTGTGAATCCCCTGTACCCCGTGAGGTATGTATTCACAAGGGGCCAGCTTCCTGGAAACACGTTACAGTCGACAGCAGCTGACTCCACCCAGGCACTTCTTACATACCAGGCCTTCTTCTAAGGGCTTCACGTGCAGTAACTCACTCACTCTTCACATCAGCTACAAAAATCATCACAATTTTACAAGAAAGGAAAGTGAGGCACAGAAATGCTAAGCCACTGGCCTGAAAGGGACAGTGGGCTTAGGCAGCACTGACCCCACCCCATTCTGCTCTGCACTTCGTTAGGGACAAAGTGTGTGAGTGATCAAAAAGGTACCCTCCACCTGTGCCTAACAAAGTGTACGTGAGTCTCACCCGATCCACTCAGGAACCATGTGGCATAGATGTCTTTATTCATATATCACAGGTGAGGTACCTGAGACACAGAGAAGGCATGGTCCCTGCCTGGGCTCCAGAGCTGATGAGGGCTGAAATCAGAGCAGCCAGGGGTATTTGTGATGGGGCTTCACACTCAGCCCTTCCCGGGAGTGCTACATGCAGCCCCTCCCTGCACTTTCCCGCCCACTACCCCATCTGTGTACCTCTAAAAATATGTACTTTGGCTCATCCCTGTGGAAAATGTCTCTCTCCTGCTTCTCCCTCTGGTCCTCCCTCTGCAGAAGGAGGAGGGCCAAGACACATTAGCACAAGGAGCCAGCACAGGCTCTGGGGTCCGCCTGTCTTCCAAGCACTTGAGGCTGCTGGACCTGGGACTCTGTTCCTTCCTTGGTCACAGTGCTCCTTCACATGGCCCACCCTTTCTTAAGGAGTCCCTGTAGTCCCTGTAGTCCCTGTGTGCTCCAGAATGGAGCAGTGTCTTTGCCAAAATAGTCTGCACTTCAAACTCTGCCCCAAGCCCCTTTCTTCCAGGGCAACCTGACAAGGAAATCTAGCACAAAAGCCCAGGGTGGGGCTTAAGCTGCAGACTCTTGAGCCAAACAAACTGCTTGAGTCCAAATTCTGACTCTGCTACTGACAACTAGAGTGTGATCTTGGGCAGGTTACGTGGCATCTCTGAGTCTCAATTTCTCCCCTGTAAATGGGCAGAGTTGTAGCACCTGCCTCACAGGGTTTGGGGAAAACTGGAATGAATGATGGTGATGCCTCACAAAGGCCTTAACTATGAACTCTCCTGGTATTTTCTAGATGGCAGAGGTTATGGGTAATCATTACATGAGCTGTCCCCACCCCTGCGTGACTGTAGATTTTAAAGAAACAAACCTAACTTTTTCAGCTGTGCACACATTCATAGTCATAACCACTGTAAATGCAGACAATCCATAAAAACAATCATATGTCCTGAATTGACATTTTGGACAACAGACTGCATATGCCACAGTGGTCCTGTAAGACTCCAGTGGAGCCTAGTGACGTCATAGTGAACACATCATTTACACATTGGTGACAAACCTACAAGGACTGCACAGAGAAAGATACAATAGTGCTCACTGCATGATACGGGACAATAAATGACTATTACTCATGTATTATGACATTCTTCTCATCTTTAGAGTATATTTCTACTTATTAAAAAATAAAGTTACAGCCTGGCATAGTGGTGATTCACTACTATAATCTCAGCTACTCAGAAGGCAGAGGCAGAAGAACTGAAAGGCCAGTCAGGGCAAAATTAGTGAGACCCTATCTCAAAAACTAAAATAAAAAACAAAATGACTTGGGGCACATGCCTATCATGTGCAAAGCCCTGAATTCAATCCCCAGTATCACAAAATAAATTAATGAACGAAGTTTATTGTAAAGTAGAATTCTGTGTTCCACAGGCAGCCGCCTCATACATCTTGTGTTTACCAGATTTTTTGATGGCACGCTTTTCTCTTACAGAGCAATAAGTACTTTCATCTTTACTTTCTACCTTCTCCCATACTTTCTGGCTACTCTTGGGTAAAGAGAAGGATTTTCTAGGTGCACAAATAAGCAAGAGTAATATCTAAAACATTTACCAACACGTGGTATGTTAGGGGTTGAACTATATCCCCTCAAAATTTGTATTTTAAGTCCTAGTTAGCCCACGCCCTCAGAATGTGACCTTAGTTAGGAATAGGATCATTGTAGATGTAATTAGTTACATGAAGTCATGGTGTAATCAGGTGAGCCTCTAATCCAGTATGACTGGTGTCCTTAGGAAAATAGAAAGCTTGGGTGCAGACATGCACTTAGAAAAAATGGCCTGCAAAGCAGAGAAAGAGACCAGGATGATGCATCCACAAGCCAAGGAACACCAAGATGGGCAGAAACCCATGGAAACTGCAGTGCATGGAGCACTGACCCTCAGAAGGAACAATCCTGCTGATGCCTCATCCTCTGGCTTCTGGCCTTCAAGATGATGGGGCAATACATTTCTATTGTTGAAGCCACATGTGTGCGGTGCTTTGTTACAGCTGCTCTAGGAAATCCATATGGGGCACAAGTATCCATCTGTACAATGACCCAAAGCCAGAGGGAGGGGGGTCCTACAGAGCCTGTGAGAATCAGATGGTACCTGTATTTCTAGACTGGCAGGTGGTCTCAGAAGAGTCCCTGGGGCATATGGGGTAGGGCACTTGGGGCCAAGGGCAGTGGCTGTTTATACCCTTCTAAGAAACTCAGCATCATTTTTAAACAACACATATGGCTGCATCAGGGTGAACTAACTAAATATCACCCTGGTAACAGCCCTGCAGAAACATGCAGTAAATGAATCTCACAGCAAAACTCACCGGTGGGCCCCTTGGTCCCCGGGGACCCTGTGGCCCTGCAGGTCCAATGTCACCCTGGAACAGACATAAAGCAGTCATATCATCATCAAGCCACATACGAAGATGATGAAGGCCCATTTTAAAATAGGGACCAGACTTCATCAAGATAATCAAGGAAACCAAGAATCCAAACATTCCCTCACTTCGTGCAATGAGGAGATGCTTGCAAGCTTTCATTTATGCATCTGTGTGTTTGTTCACTTGCTCAGGTTTATTCTACCTGGTTCTCCATGGTTTCAGTCAGCTGCCTCTTGGCCACAGAGAAGAGAGGCCCTCTTGAAGTTCTTCTCTTGACTCACTTTATAGTAGTCTGGGATCATTCCTGCCTGAGTGGTCATAGTTAGAAAACTGTACACAGTGCCTTTCTCTTTGCAAAACAACGGACTTCCTCATCACCACTGCACATGGTCTCCCAAGCACCCATGTTAGGAATGAAACATAGGGCCTTAGATAGGTTACTACACAGAGTAGATTGGAAAACACTATGAAAATGGGACTTTAAAATGATTTTTTAAACTAAGAGTCAGAGAGCTGAGCTGGAGGAAGAATGTGCCCGTGAACTGGGTTCCAAGGCTCTACTCCCAGCTCCATTCTTACTGTGGTGTCAGCAGAGCACAGACCCATTCCACATGGGGAGCTAGCTCTCTGCGTTGCCATTTCTGTAAACTAAAGCAAGAGGGGTCGGCTAGACCAGGATTTTCAAACTGCTCTTCAGCATAGAGGGCTCCAATGGGGCAGTGTTGCATCTGTGATCCATATAGCCTGTAGCTATATGCACGGGGCTTCACACACTGGATCAATACCAGAAATGCTAAGGGAACTAGGTGGGGATTCTCCCATGATCCCTCCAGCTCCTTCATCTCATAACAGTAGACCAGCCAAAGAGACAATGTGCTTTCGAGCATCAAGAGCCACTGGGAAGAGTCTACCTCACCAGTTCCCAGGCCAATCTTGAGGATGCAAAGGGGTCTCGGGACCCAGTGCCAATGTGTCTGGATAAAGAAGCATTCCCTGGAGGCAAAAATATATCCCCACAAGTCAGGAGGCCCTGGAGGATGCAATGCAAGACAGGTGACCAGTTGCCAGGGAGGCATCTCACCTGGCATTTCCTGGCTCCCATTAGCTCCTCCTGCCTCCCATTAGCTCCTCCTGCCTCTGGGTCTCCATGTAACCACAAGTTAAGTCCTTACCCTCTCTGGATCTCACTGTTTTCATTGTACCACCTTGGTAAAAGCTCTACTTGTCCTGTCCAGATTGCAAGACCAAATAATAGTGAAAGGCATCTGAGTCGTCTAAAGTGAGATGCACATGTGGTGGTGGAGGTGGCAGTGAGGGGCTTGGGGTTACATTGAGCACCAAAGAGAACAAGAGATGAAGAAATATTCTGGGAGAAATGATGAAATGCCTCTCTACTCAATGAAGGTGGATCTAATGGGCCTGTCATTGGTACTGAGGCAGAAAATTCAGGAAAAAAACACCCAAACCAGTTCAGGGGAACAGGTGGCCTCCTTGCAGATCATCTCATGGGGAACAGGTGATCTATTCCCACCCAGAACCATCCCAAAATGCTCCTTTTGAAAGAGCATTTTCATCTGGACCCAAACCTGGGCATGTGCACAAGAGCCCCAACTATAGCCTAATGAATATGGATCAATATGCATCACATTGAGTTCACATTGCAACCAATCTGTCAATCACAACACATCACTCCCAAATACAATCCAAATCTTCCCCCTTGTAGTGTATAAATACCCATCCAAACCAAGGCACTGTTGCTCTTGAGGCACCTCTCTAGAGTGCACTTTCCCACATTCCTTGGCGAGCATACTTTCCTGCTTTGTAATCTGTGCATCTCTGCTCAATTCTTTGCTTGCGATGCCAAGAACCTGAGATCTTCTCAACCAGGGTCTTCTGAGATTACCCACCAGTAACAGCACCAACACACAAATCGTGATGAACCCACAAAGACTCCTATTAGGCACTCTCCAGGGTGGAAGCCCCCATCTCATCTGTGGCAACTAATTTTGTGACATCACCTGTGTGTACTCTTCACAGACCTCCCACCAGCAACTGTGGTGCTGTTTTGGGGTATGTTCCTTCCTTATTCTCCTAACCCCCACAGGCCACAGTAGCCCCACTTACATCTTTTCCTGGTGACCCTTCCCAGCCAGGGGTCCCAGCAGCACCCGGTTCTCCCTGGAAATAAAAAACTGCTGTTAAGGATAGAGCTGCTTCAGCTATGGAATGCCTCCAGCACAGGGCACCTGAGGACTTGGGAGAGGTGCAGAGACTAGGGAGCTGGCAGGTGGAAATGCTCCCCACAGGACAGGGCAGCCCCTGCACACAGAGTCCTGGCTCCAATCTGACGCCTGTATGTACCCAAGGCCAGTGATAGTATATGAGGCCATGCACGCTTTCCCAGCAGCACAAGTGGGAAGAACACCAGCTGAAGGGTTGGGCAGGACTGACTGGATTCTGTCCTCAGCTGTTGGCCACTTAACACTTTCTATATCATGGCTTTACCCACTATACTCAGGGGACCTAACCACTGATGCCTGAGGTTCCTTTCATTTGGAACATTCTAAACTGATAGACATTAAAGGATAAGAAACTAGGTTCTGGAGGCGTCCCATCTGGAATAAGGCTGATGTGTTCCACAAACAGCCTTGGGGACCCTGGGAAAATCACCCCATACCCTGGGCTTCAGTTTCCTCCTCTGCAAAATAAGCCCCAAACCAGTACTTTCTTCCCAGGGACCAGGGACAATATGCTTGGACCATACCTGAGTCCAGGCTGCTTTGGCCAAACTGGCATTCCATCATTGCCTGGCCCCCGGAAGAAGCACCTACAGGACAGAAGACGGGATGACACATGCCACCCTATTGGCATGACTACTGTCCTTTCCTGAGTAGCAAGGCATTGTCCTGCCTATGGGCCCCAGGAGTCCTCTCTATAAGAAGTGTCAGCTCTGAGTTACCTGGTTTGACTTCCAACGTGAGTCATCCACTTACCCGGGGACCAGGTAGGCCAGAATCACCTGTGTGTCCCTTGAAGCCCTGGAAAACATAAGATAAAGTTAGTTCACCAAAGAGCAGACTTAGGGCAGGGAAGGGCAGGGTCCAGTTGCACCCTACCCTCAGACTTTCACTCAGCCTGACTCCATTCATTATCACCAGCCACTGAGGCTGGTGATCACCAGCAGGTCTACAACTTGCATCCCTTCCTAAAACTCCCAGTGCAGAGGTGGTTTTTGACCCCAAGGGAGATCCCAACCAATGGGTATCCTCCGTTGAAAACAAGCTCTACTCACTCCCACAAACCAGAAACCACCTTTAAACAACTGACCATTACCTGGGCATATTTGTGCATGGCTGTAAGTCAGAGGGATGGCGAGTTCAAGGCCAGCCTGGGCTAAATGGTGAGATCTTGTCTCAAAAGATACCATGTGCTTGTCTAGCATGTGTAAGGCTGTGGGTTCCAAACCCAACATGGAAAAAAAACTAAACAAAACAAAAACCCATGGACCATTATTCACCAGAATACCTTACTTATAAGGAATTATACTGTGTTCCAGAGTGAGCATTAATTTATTAAGTTTTAAAAATGGTTTTGGAAAGGATATAATGGGGTCATCAATTTAAAGTATTCTTGTTAAAAAAACAATCACTAGTTCTGTGTTTTAACCCCACAGGCAATAGTATTCCTCACGTTCAGGCTGCCTCAGGTGGGAAGCCAGGAGATTTTGGAAAAAGAAACATTGATTTTTGTATTTTATTTCCTCCTTATTGAACACTAGCTTGATGCTTTATTGATTTTTTAAAAAGAAAAACAACATTAAAGAAGCAGAACTAGCATTTTAACCTGTTACTTCTTGCCAGATAATTGGATTTTAGAATTTTCATTAAACATCATATTTTTAACAAAAAACTGAAAAGAATTGTGTAAATAATTTATGTCTAATAGCAAGATAACTATATATATATATATATATATATACATTTATATGTGTGTATATATATATATATATACATATCTATAGGTATAGAAATTCATATATGGAAAAAGTCTAGAAAAATACTCTAAAATGTTGGCGCAGTTTTACGTTGCATTGTAGAATTATCACTAACTTTATTTTCTTCTTTATAGCATTATTTTTCTTATGTTTTTCTTCTTATCACCATCATTATTACTGTGCAATTAGGATAGATTACTTTAGCTATGGAAAGTATTGAAAATGAAAATGAAGATTCATTTTTAGGTTCCATTATACAGAGAAAAGTCCGTTAAAATTATAATAAAGAGGACAAGAACAAAGAAAAGTAGAAACAGTAATATGCTAGTGATGGTTGACTTTGGGAAATAAATGTCACAGCTATAGTATGTGAAAAACAGAATTGATATCAGAAGTGTCACTGCCTTGGAAGAGAGGAGGTCCTGGAAACCGAAGATCAGGTGGCCTCAGTCAACCCCTTCTTCAACTATGGACAACTCAGGTCCTGCACTTACAGGTGGGCCTCGGACACCCTCTGCTCCTGGTGGACCTGGCTCTCCCACTTTGCCCTGGAGAAAGAAAAGAAAAATTTGAGGACCAAATTCAGGACTTTCCTATTGTGGCTTCCTGCACTTTGTATCTCTGTTTCTCCACAAGCCCGTCTGTGCAGGCTACCAGGCTCTACCCGACATTGCAGTGCAGCTCATCCACACCAATCTCCAACCGCACATCCAGACCTCTGATGTTCCTGGTTTGCCTGGGACCAGGTGAGGTTGTGTAAGCTGGTTACACAAGCTTAACTATTAGTGCTTAATTATTCACAGTCCACCACTTCACTGTTAGAAAGTGCTCTGGTCATATGGCCAACTTAGGTATAGACGACTTTATTCACAAAAGCACTTCAAGGCATCTATTAACTATTGTACTTTTCCAATGGTGATATTGACGATCAAAGCAGGTGTATTTTTACTGAGCTTCTAAAAGGCAAAGCTAGATTTCCCCAGCTTTGTGCCACACCCAGGCAGATGTTCTTCTCATTGCCAGCATTGGTATGGTTTGTAGGTGCCCTGTGGTGGACACAGCCATTCCCCCATCTTCTCAAATGCAAAAAGAGTTAGGAGGAAACTCTAGCTTTTAAAAATCTTTACTTCTCCCAGCTTGGCATTGCACTGGACAGAACCAAACTATGAATAAAATCCAGGGGGCAGCTCAGGTCCAGATAAAAGTGGTCAGCAGTGGGGGGAACAGAGGAGGTGGGTGAAAAGGCAAGTGAACCCATTAATTCATAGCAGCTGGGGCAGATTTCTGGGTCTTTCTTTATTGTAACCCTAAGACTTAGACCTCCCCAAACACTTTTGCATCTCATTTTTCACAGAGTATAAACCTGGGGGATCACATCAGGTCCATGGTTGGGGATGAAGAACATCCTTGGATTTAGAGGAAATTTCCAGAGAGAAGGTCAGGTCTCAATGCTCTGGTGTCCAGGCTGATCTGCTGTTCCTTCTGCCCCAGTTTGTCCAAGTACAGCTGTTTGATGTTGGGTACCATTACTATTCCTGGTTTTGTTTTGCACTTGTAAATGTGAGATGACCTCACCTTCTAGGTCTTTGTGACTGAGGATGTCAAGGCTTAGTGGTCCTCCCCATAGTCAAACGTGATTGCCATCATTGGCCCAAGTTACCAGCTGAAAAATGGCAACAACCAACTACTGTCGAGGATCTCCCAGGCACAACTAGAGTGATGTCACTATGATGTCAACAAATCCTCACTGAAACCCAACGAAGGGCACACTCCTGCTATCTTTCAGGCAAAACACTAGGCACAAAGAGGTTAAGTCATCTGCTCAAGGATAACACTAAATTTCTAATTGAGTCATTTTGACTCCAAAACATACTTCATCCTAGACTATAATAAAATGCTTACATTTCACTTTAAACATAAAGCAACAGACAACTCTTATCTGTGTATCTCTCCATCCTCCATCCCTCCATCCATCCAACTACTATCTGTCTACTTATCCACCTGTGTCCCTTGTATAACTTGGAGAAGCTAGTGGAGAGGGACTACCTACTACCTGTGGCTGTTTCTCAGCCACATCTGCCAGCTCACCCAGGAGGGCACATGTCCACTGGTCCTACAGCTCCTGCACAGACAGGTATATGCAGAAGAGCATGTTCTCTGGCACTAGGGAAACACCTGAAGTTGGGGTGGGGTGGAAAGGCCCACATGCATGCAAGTTAAAGCCTCAATCATGAAAGGCTGGAGGGTGATGGACGACTCTTCAAGCCCCCTTGTCCTGCCTCAGGATGTGGAGGAAGGGGCATTCTCAGTGTGTTCTTCACAGGGGCCCCAACGAACCTGGACCTCAGCTGCTCCAGGAATGCCACTGGCCAGCCTGCCTTTCACAACTTTCCCTCTCCCTTTGATCCATTCCCCCAGTGGTTCATTTTGTGGAACCCCTCCCAAATATCTGCATCCAAGTCTCTATCTTGAGATCTCAGGGGGTCCTCTACCCAACTTATGGCAGTTTTCTGGGTGGTAAACTGTCAGGATGGCTACGTAGTAAAATTCCAGAATAAACCAATGGAGAACTCAAGAAGTTGCACCTCAAGCAAAGGGAATGTTGCTGCTCCTGCCACTGAGCTCTGAGTGGAGGTCGCCACCTCTGATGGAGGTCCCTGAGTCCTGCCTGGTCCAGGAGAAAGAAGCATCTCTATCTCCTTCATCACCCTTGCCCACCCAGAACAGGCCTGGTTCTGGATCAATAATGCCCAGAGTCTAGCAGAGGGCTAGGGTGGCATAGGCACTCAACAACAGAGTGAATGAAGACTAATGTCCCCAGGTCCCCTGCACCATTCAGACAGCCTCTCAGGGTAACGCACTCTTACCAGGAAGGTGAATTCCTGCCCTAAGCTCTGTGCTGTAAGAAAGCCCTTGCATTGTGAGTCCTGGAGGTTTCATTAAACAGCTGGATGACCTTGGCCCAGTTTTCAGCCTCCCTGTGCCTCAGGTTCCTCACCTGGGGCCATAATGGTACCTGTGTCCCCCTGATCTTTTCTGAAAAAGTGAAAGAGGGAGTGAAGAGCTGGGTGCCCTGGCCCCAGGTGCTTGCAAGAGCTCCAGTCACAGTGGACACAGTTGTGCTATGCCCCACTGCACACTCTCCAACCTCCACCACTGACTGCCCTTGGGCTCTTCAGGCAGCTCAGCTGGTGTCAGCCCTGCTAGGACTTTCCACCTAGTTTGCTAGGGGAAGATCATTCTTTTCCCCACAGCAGTGAATTTTGACTCCAGCATCTGGCAAACATAAACTTACAAAGGAGGTACCTCCTGCAAGTTGTGTAAGATTTGGATTGAGTCATAATAATTTATGACCAAACAAATTACATGGAACATGAACTGTGCTGTAGAAACTTTTATGTAATTCCACTTAGTAGCTCTAATGGCTCTGCAGTTCCAACCTCAACAGGAGTTAAAAGGAGGGCAGTAACAAAAAAGTAACTCACTCAAATAATTAACTGTGAGATACATCAGAAGCACTGCAAGCAGTTTTCACCTCATTTGATCCTTCAGCTACTCAGACAAGTTGGAGAGTTACTCACATCCTATGTAAAAGGAGGCAGATGCTTGCTCAGAGGTGCATTAGGTCCAGGGCCAGGACCTCGCTCCAGGTCACACGGTCTGCCACAAGTGAAGCCAGAATCCAAAGCTACTTCATTGTCCTTACTTTGGTGTAAAATATTTTATTTAACTGTTATCTTCCAAATTTAATTTTATCAATAATTAATATAGACCAAAACTTTTAATATAGCCCCAAAACGTTTTAAAAAGATAATAAAATAAATCCAGCGGAGCATAAAGTTGCCTTCCCATTGTTTTGGCCCTTTCACCCAGAACCATCCTCTATGAACGGAAACTACTTTCATTAGAGTTCTGGAAGTTCAACTCCCAGAGTTCCTTTATGTTAGAACCAGGAAAATACACAGGCACTTATTTTTGTATAAAATAGGGTGGCTACACACTGCCCTGCACATGAGGTCCCAAGCAGTTATGTTGGTTCCTACAGAAAGGTCTCTTTTCTTCTGACAGCTGCTGGTGTTGGAATTCAGGTGTCCGTGTGTCCTGTCACAGAGCCAGGCTCCTCTGGTGGACATGTGGAGAACCCACATATTTCACCCACCATGCAGCCAGTCCTTCTTCCCTCTATATATGGGATTAGTTTGTTTAGTTGTTGTTCTGTAGGGCTGGGATGGAGCCCAGGGCTTTGGACATGGTAGGCAAATGTTCTACCACTAAGCTGCACCCCAGCCCTGGGTTTGTGAAAACAAAAGCGCTGCCAGACACAGCAGCGACACCCTCATCATGGATCCCTGAACACAGGTTGAGGAACTCAGGGACATCACAGAAATCATTGCACAAGGGCCAGTCATGGTGGGTCACACCTGTAATTCCAGCTACTCAGGAAGCAGAGATCAGCAGGACTGCAGCTCAAGGCCAGCCTAGACAAAAGGTTACGAAGACCCCATCTCAACCAACAAGCCAGGCATGGTGGCTCACACCTATGATCCCAGTGACACAGGAGGCATAGGGAGAAGGCCCACCCTGGGCCAAACTTGACACCTCATCTAAAAAATGAGTAAAGCAAAAAAGGGCTAGGGGTGTGGCTCAAGTGATAGAGTGCATGCCTAGCAAGCTAGAGGCCCAGAGTTCAAACCCCAGTACTGAGAGAAAGAGAGACAGAGAGAAGGGAGGAGGGAGGGAAGGGAGGGAGGGAAGAAGAAGGAAGGAAGGAAGGAAGGAAGGAAGGAAGGAAGGAAGGAAGGAAGGAAGGAAAGAAAGAAATGAAGGAATAGAAAGAAAGAAAAGAAAAGAACAGAAACAAAGAAAAGAAATTCCTGCACACTCCCAGCAAGCATTTACAGGGCCAGAGAGAGGCCCTCAGGAGCACTGTGTTTGGTGTCTCACTGGGTGCCCCTGGACAACTACCATTAAAGAAAAATACCACCACCAATGACCAACGCCTCTGTGAGATGACCGAGTTACAAAGTGGATGGGAGTGGGAGAGAGAAAACTTGCAGGGCTGCTGGGGAAGTAAAGGAAGTGATGCACTGGTACTCCTGGTTCATAGAAGCCCCTCAGCACAGAGGAGTTGTTACTGAGAAATGGCGCAGATGGCATGTGACATGAGAAGTATAGAGGCTCTTACCGGCTCTCCAGGGGGACCTGGCTTTCCATCTCTGCCCGGTTTGCCTCCTTCTCCCTACAAGAGAAGCTCAAATTAGTTATCAGGTCAACAAAGATGAGCAAGGAAGGAAGGACAAAGGTTCTGCAGGCTGCCTTTGTCTTTCAGCCGTGATCAGTTAGCCACTACAGGACCATCTACACACAAAGATTGGGTCTGGTTTCCCATTTTCTTCCCCAACACCAAGATTCTGGCTGTGTATCTGTGACTCATGGTACCTGCCACCTACTGGTAAGGCAACATCTTTGCAATTGCATCATTATTCTTGCCATTAATTTCTCACTGGACATTTTCATGAAGTCAACATAGGACAACACGACCTCATCCATGGGACATGATGACGGGGAGACGGATGCTGATGAAAAAGAGGACCTCACAGAGCGTGCAGCAAAGCACTTAGCAGCATTCCTGGGCACCTGCAGGGCTCAGGAAATGACGGCCAGTAGTATGCATGGCTCTAGAAAGGCCATGGGCATTACACATTTCTTTCCAAGAACCCAGCTATGCTTGCCTCTCCCACTGCCCCAGCATCCGCATGTGTATCTAAGAGAAGCATTTCTTCAGGGTCTCTGAAGATGAGAAAGATAATACATCTGATGATTATGATGACAGCAGGCAGAGGGTCCAATCCTGGGCTGCCTGGATCCAGGTTCTGGTAAGAGAAAGTAGCAAGGTAGGGCAGCAGAGGGGAAACAAAGTCCCATCGAGCAAGGTTTGAATCCTGCTTGCATCTACTAAGCATAGGATCTTGGACAACGTCATTCAAACTCTCAGCTTCTTGGTGCCTCTTCTCTTACTGAGAGATGCTCAACCTGCCTGTATAGTCACAGGCTTCCATCCACAAGGCTTGACAAAACAGGCACTGGAGACACAGCCGCCTCTTCCCCGGGCAGCCACTAATGAAAGTTTGCACACGTCCCCACCAGTGCCTTTAACCGTGGTGCGTTGGCACAGGGAAACCACTGTGGACAGAGATAAGAATGCAAGTCCGTCCAGGATGCTGTCTGAATGCTCTGTGCACCTCTGTATCTGCTTATAAATGTTGCTCCCAGCATTACTATGAACATCAAATAAACAGACTCATGTGTTTACGCTCTTTGCAATTAAAAGTTTAACTTCAGAACCATTCCTCCCCAGGCACTGACGCTGAAGGAAGAAGGGTCCAGAGAGCTGTGCACAGAAAGAAAACCAGTGCAACAGGATGAAGTACACAGAGGAGGGAGACCAGCGAGCTCAGGCTGAAGGAGGAGGAACCTGGGGGGCTTCTGGTGCACTATTTGGTCCCTAAGAAGCAGCAACTTGAGAAAATGCTGAGGGGATCTTAGATTATTAGCCTTGTGAGTAATCTGAGAAATTAGTGTGGGTTTCCAAGACAGAAAAGTTGCCTCTTGCTAAGTGCATGGCTGAGCAATTCTTGAATTTCTCAGAGTCTCCATTTCTTCCCTTTAATGAATAGGAACACTCACACCTACATTGCAAGGTGAGGATTTAATATCCTGACACATAAACAGGGTGCTTCCTACAAAGTACATGGCAAAGAGCTGGCCCTCAACAGATGGAGAGAATTACTGTTTTGCTTCATGGAAGCTAGTGATGCTGTTCAGATGTTAGCAAGTTTGCTGGTTCTCCCATCTCTCGTGGCACCCAGCACAAGAGGAAGGAAGGACCATTTCTTCTGTAACGTGAGCACTTACATCTATGTCTTTTGCTGGTTGTTCCTTCCACCTGACACACCTTCCTTTGGATGCATGTCAGCTCTCTCAGCATATACAGGCTGACCTTGAATGCTCACCTCTAGTGTCACCTTCCCCAGGAAGCCCCAGATATCCCCTCATCACCTGGCATGGGTGTCCACCCTTGGGCTCCCACAGCCCTATATGTCTATCTGCAATGGAACATAGAGAGTCATGTTCTACAAGTATGGTTTCCAACTTTCATTTTTGTCCTCTCTATGAAGCCATGGGCTCCTGAAGAGCTGGGACTGTGAGCACTAGCACAGGTCAGGAGCTTATTGTCATTCGTGTATTGCTTACTTGTCTTGCCCTTCATTTGGCCCAGATTTAGGAAGCACCTACTTGGTACTGAGAGGGGGAGGTGATGTAAAGATGGACAGAAACTCAACAGGTTCTTATGACCACACTGCAAGTGCTGTAGTGAGAATTAAAGAACTGGTCTTAAAGTCTAATTTAAGTCCCTACCTAACCCCACTGGGGAGGTTCAAAGGCATGTCTTAGGAGGAAATTATGTCAGGTGGAAGAGGGTCTTAGAAAGAGCAGGTAAATGGGGTGTTGGTGAGGGTTGGGGGTGTTCATTTATGGAAAGTTCTGTGCACACAACCCCCATGGAGAATACAATGTACATGGAATTGTGGTGGTCCTCATGGTCCACCAGTAGGAGCAGTAGGAGAATCATCAGGGTAGGAATGCTTTGGTGGAGGAAGGAAAAGTGCCTTAGAGTGGCTGGAGTGAGAGGTGCTGGTGGGGTTGGAGTTAAGGGGCCAGGATTAGAATGAGACCGAGAAGAAACAGGGTTAGTGCATGAGGGGTAGGAGGCACCAATGCCCAGTGTTGAGTTAAAAGGACAATAGGTGCAGAAAGGGAGGTGACCAATCTGATCTGCACTGGAAGGGAAGATGGAAGAGAGGGAAGCAGTTGGGAGGAAGGAATAGGTATTTTTGAGGAAACAGCATGATCACATTTAAGTCTGTTTACTTCTAATCTGGTTCCTTAGAATACTGATGATAAGGGGTGGATACAAAATCCAAACTAGAGATTTTTCTCTTCTTAGCTTTATCATTGCTAGAACTGAGTCAATAATTGTGTTGTATTTCCTATGGTATACCAGTCTCCAGGACTTCAGTTTATACTGACCGAAGTTCCCATTCCTGCCTGTCACTTAAGAGCTGTGTGCCTAGACAGGTTAATCTCCAGGGCTGCCCAGAAGATGCCTTCTCCATCCACCTGTGATAGTGCTTGTCAGATGTTCTAGGAGGAAGGGCCCTAAGAGAGCAATTCATTCATTACTTTCTTTAATTAATGTTTGTTGTGTGCTGTGTGTGGGGACCCAAGGCTGAACAAAAGCAGATGTGGTTCCAGCTCTCATAGAAGCTGCAACCTGTAATATAGTAATTAGCAATTATTCTTCTCTGTTAGGTCCCCAAATCTAGTAAACAGAGGTTCTCTAATTAGAGTCTGTTGAATGAAGGACTGGATCACATCAATGAATAAGAGAGGAGGTGGACACTCATCTTCCATTACACCAAAATGAATGTGAGCAACAGCTGTGACAGGAATTCAGAATCAAAGGGATAAGACTGAGAGCCTGTCCCAGCCTGGGGGTGAGAAGGAAGCAGGAAGCACTGCCTGGACTGAGTTGGGAAGGAGCAAAGGCTTCAAGCAGGATGTTGGGGATGTAGCTCAGAGTAGAGTGCTTGCCTACCATGTGCAAATCCCTGGGTTTGATTCCCAGAATAAAAAAATAATAATAATAAACAAATAAAAAAACACCAACCACTGAAAGGGTATCAGATGACTTTCTGGGAAGATGAAAATGCATATGCAAAGGCCCTGTGTCCTGAAAGAGGGGTTGTCAAGTATAGCAAAGACCATATCATGTTCAAGTAACCAAAAGGAAGTCTATGTGGCTGGTACAGAAGAATGCACAGTGGAGATCAAGACTGGGGCACTGTGGCCAGTCAATGCCCGGCAGCAGGTCCAGGTCAGACTTTGAGCCACACAAGAACTCTTTCTTAGTGGAGAGACCCTTCCAGACAGACCTTATTAAAAGTACATTGGAAATCTCAACCCTATAGAAATGAGGTACATATTACATTGAGAGGTTTAGAACAATGTTTTTAGAAAGTAATTTCACAGTTTGTACCAAGAACTTTGGTCATTATTGAACTCTGACAAGTAAACCCCATTCAGGGACCAACCTAAAGAAATCAGAAAAATATTCATGTGAAATTATCCATTGCAGCTTTTTAAAGAAATAATCATAAGATTTAAGAAAAAACAGAGGAATGACCACATATGTTATGGTGGATTCATTGGATATATTGTAGTAAATTTAAAGAACATTTAACAGTAGTGTTAGAAATTTAAAAAATTATATTTGTGTGTCTATGTATATATGGGTATGTGTATTATAGATGAATATATATATATATATATACATATATATATATATGGAGGTATATCATTGAAGTCAATAAGAAGTAGTCAATATATAAAGGAAGAATGAGATTAACATTGAGTCTACCAAATTTTAGTTGGCTTTGGGTGATAAGCAAGTTAATGGTTATATTTCTTCTAATTTTCTGTAACACCTCAATTTCCACTGGTGGCCATACCTTGCTTTTGCAATGGTAGAATATATTTTTTATTGGCTTGTTTTTGTCAAGAGAAAGTAGTTTTTTAGGTGTCACTTACGGGGACTCCAGGAATTCCTGATGGGCCTTGTGGACCAGGAGGACCTTCTTTCCCCTAAAAGATGCAAGACATAAACACACATGAACTCCTTGCTTGGCTTTATGGAAGTAAATCATATCATGGGAACATCCTTGTCTGCGGTTAGAAGTGAGGAGCACCTGTGTGGGGGCTGGGCCTCTGTCTTCTCAGACTTCGCTTAGAGCATGCTCACATCAGTGCTGTGCACACTGAGGCCCATTTTGGCCACCTTACAGAGACTCCAGGAATTAACCATTACAAGGCCGGGGGAAGAAGACTGGGGGACTTTAGAATTCATGAGACTTGGGTCCAGATCCGTTTGACATTTGTCCCCAGATCTCCTGAGACTCAGGTTCCCTCCACACACTGCACAGAAATGGCTCCTCTAGGTGCTGCATCCACAAGACCCAGCACAAATGAAGGGCTGACCAGAGGGTATGTGCAGCTATTGGTTTTATTATTTCACTGTTTTATTTTTTTTCCAGAGATTCCTAAACCTTTAACCAGCAATGGCTACAGTTATTATTTCTTTCCCCCAGGAAAGACATATGGTGCTTCGAAAAACTCTTACCAAATCACATTCACTAGCACTTCGTTAACCATTTGATTCATCAAAGACATGTAACTGTCACCCAGCGGTCCTATGTCAGCATGAGGTAATCAGGGCCACAATTTCCACTATGGTGCACTTTCTTTATATCACCTCCATCTCTGCCATGAGAATATAGAGTTCCTGGCAACTTTATGATCTCCTACCAATGCTTCTGTGAGATGAGATAAGATACCACAGATGCCAGTTTTTATTACCTTCTGTTCCCATAAAATGAGATTTTCTTAAGGGTTGTTACTTTATCCCCATAAAATAAAAAGCAAAACTAAATAGAAGTTTGTATTTATTTCAGAATTAAACAGTGTGTATACTATAATATAAAAATGGCTCTGTCAGGAGACCAGAGCACACTTCCTTTATTAAGTATTGTTTAAACTTAATATAAACTCAGTAACCAAGTTTTATGCACATCTGAAGAAAATGAAAGACATCAGTAGTGCATGATTGAGATATTAAAAAATTATTTCAAAATTATCTTATAGAACTTTAGGAACTGAGGAAGAAGGGTTACTGTTTTAGGTTTATTGCTGTTTGTGAAAACCTTTCCTCAAAAGGATTTACATTCATCCTGTTCATGTTGGGAAGTTATTCAATCTTAAAAAAACCAGAATGCTAAGTTTGTGCATTTGTGTTGATAACAGTGTGGCAAAAACTGTCTCTGTTGCATTATGTCATGTGGCATTTGTTATTGCCTAGACACACTGCCACTTAGACCAATATGAAAGATCAACACAGTAAATTAAAAGTACTTATCTCTACCCCACTCCACAACACCCATAAATACAAAAGCAAATAAAGTGGATATGTTGTCAGCATGAGACAAATATTCAATTATCATCAGGGAATTTTAAATATTGGTAACAGAGCTTTCTGAATTCCTTTCTGGACGTTTGCTGTTCCAAAGACCCTAGAATAGAGAGAAACAACAGTGTTCCAGGACAGGGGTCGGCAGACTCTGGCCCTCTGCCTGCTTTTATAAATAGTTGTATCAGTACACAGTCATGTTCGCTACTTTATGCCTTGTCCATGGCTCATATTTTGTCTTACCCCAAGTGAACTAAGTAGTTAAAGAAAAGAACGTATGAACCCTCAAACCTGATATGTTTACCATTTACTTCTTTATGGCAAAAGTTTTCTGATATTCTCCTGAATCTTAGGTGAGGAAGGCATTGCAGGTCCAAGAGAGTACTCCATCACTCATGGCACCATAACCAAACTCATCCAATAGTTAGAAAGCTGTTCCCTTGGTAGTGAGGCCAGAAGTTAAAATACAGTAGACAGATGCTCCCTCAACCAATCTCCACTTACACATTCCCCACTGACCTAGCTCCGTCATTGGTCCTTCCCAAACACTCTGATCATCTGTAACCCTGTGGTTAACACTCCCGGCTCCCACCAGAGGAACTGAAGGCTCACAAGGAGGGATGCAGTGTTTGTTCCCGTACATCTATTTACACCATTTATTGGTCATGGAAATTAATCTATTTAATTATTTATTCACCAACCCAATGATTTTCAATTAGAGAAAGAGAAAAAGTAATCTTTTATGCAGTCAAATTTTGGGCTTTGAAAGTATTTAATAAAGATGATTTCCTCACTGTATAAAGAGATAGATGCAAGATATATAAAAAATTGCCAAAATCTTTAACAACCCAAATTCTACATGCACATTGCTTCAGAGGTGCTGTTACAGTCTCAAATTCTGCTTTTTTAAGTAGCAAATAGTAGGTAGGTGGACTTTCTGTTTTACAAGAATAATTACAAGGGGTTCCATTCAGGGCACTCAAAATCAAAGTAGTGGCCCTCATCCCATGTCAAAAATATTTAGCATAGCTTATATGTTTTAATTGAAATTACAATGAAAATGTTTAGGTTTGCATACACTATTTTTATCATTATCCATTTTACTTTGTAGTTCTATTTTTTGGTAGTACTGGGGTTTGAACTCAAGGCCTCACACTTGCTAGGCAGACACTCAATCATTTGAGTCATGCTCCAGCAAAAGTGTAACCCAGCACGGACTTGAACTCCTAATCCTCCTGCCTCAGCCCCTTCGCCTTGTTGATTACCAGAATGTACCACTCCAACCAGCTTTATTTCTGTTTTTTCACTACCAGTATTCATTGGTTAGGCTAAAGAAACTTCCACTATATCCTGGTTTGATAACCACAGTAATGGATCAGGACCATGGACAGTTTCAAGTGCTGCGATAACTTGCCGAGGGGTCCTGTGATAGAATCTAAGTCTTATTTAATATAGTTTAATTCCTAGGAATGTAATGATTTTACATCTGGGCTCCATGTTTTATTCTCCTCAGGCAACAGTTTTTATTGGGTAAATCTTTTACAGTCTGAGAGTCAATACAAAGCTGCCTGCAGTATTTTATTTATCCTGGGACTTCTTTCTATGTGGGTTGCTTCAAAAGGACTGTCCACAGGATGATCCTAAGAGGGCCATGTGACTGTTGATTATTCTGTCTTATTCCCTGGAGGTTCAGTGTCCAATAGTACAAAGAACACTGAACTTGGAGTTTTCAAATAGACTTAGGTCCCAAGTTGGGTATTAATTTTCTGTGTGACTTTGGAAAAGGGACTGAATACCATCGGGTTTGGTCCTTCCTGTTTGAGAGGGATGAAGTTGTACTAACTGAACCCTATGGCACCCTCTGCACAAGAGCCCTCATACACCAGGGCAGGGGTGACCTCCTTGATAGCTACTCTTGGACTGTGATGCTAAGATTCTTGTAGACCAGAGTTCATGCCTGGCTCTGATTTCCTCATTATATGACTCTGAACAGGTCACTTTACTTCTTTTATTTCTAAAATGGATATAATGACTCAGAACCTCTCTAAACTATAAGACTAAAGTGGAGGGGAGGCAGTCATACGACACAGGGATACTGATGTGATGTATATCCCTTTAAAGACTATGCATGGATTGCTATTAGCAAAATGCCTGTTAACTACCTTTCACCTTCTGCTTTGTAGCAACAAAACCAAATGTGGTTCTAGTAAGTAAAATAACTCAGTTTTGAGATAAAAGCACTGAGTTCAAATACCATGTGCACCATTTGTGATTTGGGAACCCTGAACAGTGACTTTTTTCTTATTTTCACTCTCCTCTGGAACACTTGGGGCAAAATGCTACCTGCTGCCTGACATGCATGGTAGCATGCCATATCTCAGGGAGGGATAGCCTGCAGCCTCTCCTCTCACCTGTCTTCCTCAGAATAGAAACTATGCTGACAAAGAAGAGAGATGAGACTTACATCAAGCACCTGCTAGCATTGGTGGTTGTGAGCTGAATTCTGTAACCATAGATTGCCAGATAATATCATCCACACATTTATTTTAGTAGCAACGTAACCGGGGATCCAACAGAAAGCAATATTTCCCATGTTTTTGCTGAAAGACTAGTAGTGGACAGAACCTCGGGAATGTGTGGACCCCAGGAGGTGGAGAGGAACAGGACAGGGTTGGGAAACACTCGGGTTCTGGAAAGGCCTAAAGACACACTCAAGACATATTCCATCATGAGAGGAAGTTACCTGTGGCCCTTGAAAACCTGGTGGTCCAGCAGCTCCTGCAATTCCATCTGTTCCCTAAAAAAGGCAAGGCAGAAGACTAGTGACCAGTGCAACTGGACAGAGGTCCTTGGTGCCCCACATCCCACTGCAGAGATGGAGTGATGCACTGATCTCACACTCTGTGTCCTCTACTACCAGCCTGAACCAGACATGTGTCAAGAGAGTTCCCATTTCCCTCATCATTCTGGGCTCTGCTCTGGGAGCAATACCACATTTCATGAAGGACTAAAGCTCTAACAAGCCAGTCAGTCATCCCTAAGAGAACAGTAAACAGTCCCTCTTTGGAACAGACCTTACACGCTAATGTCAGGGAACACAGAAGGACAGAAAGCAACCTGAACCTGTCTTCTGAGAGGATAGAAAGGTAGTGGTTTATGTCAAGTCAGGGAGACAGAGATACACAGATGCACAGGAAGAAGAACACCACACAGGTAAGCAAGTAGTGCAGAGGGTCCCCACGCCCATGTCTATACCAGGGTTCCTGCAAGCATTTTTCCCTCTGCTTGCATCCTAGGCCTACCATGTGCACAGAGGGATCACTACCCATCCTCTAGGTCTTAGTTTGGGCATCAGTTTCTCAGTGAAAGGCTTTTTGCCTATGAGACCCACCATTCACCAGCCCCTGCCCCTTTCTACCCCAGGTACCATCTTGTCTGTCTGCTTATCTCTGAAGAACTCGTCAATGTCTGGCACCCTAGTGCTTACTGACTTGATATTTGCTGATTGTCATTCTCCCTTCTCCTACACACTTCCCATACTGCAAAGTCAGGAATTTCCCTCCTGGGAATTAAAACAGTGCCTGGAATATATTTGATACTTGGTCAACATTTCTTGATGAATTAACAGTTTAGCTGGTTGGGATGAAGACAATTTTGTGTGTGTGTGTGATACTTGGGTTTAGTTTCAACTCAGGGTTTCACACTCCCCAGCCAGATCTGCCATTTGACTCACAGCCCCACCCCTTTTTTGCCTTTAGTTGTTTTTCAGATGGGTCTTGCATTTTTGCGTGGGGCTGGTGTGGGACCATGGTCCTCCTACTGTAGTTGGAATAATAGCCATGTGCCACTGTGCCTGCCTTATTTTTTAGATGGATCTTGCAACTTTTTTCTCAGGCTGGCCTCAATCCTTGATCTTCTCAATCTCTGCCTCCTGAGTAGCTGGAATTACAGGTGTGAGCCACTGTACTGGGCCCAAGGCAATAGCTCTTTAGATTAATTCATCATCTGCCTCTTACTAGCCTTCATGGGGTCACTTATGATAAGTCAGCTTCAGCCTCATTATCCCTAAAAGGGTAGAAATTATGCACCACAAGGAGATATGGAGTCAATGAGGCAATGCTAACAAGCTGCTTAGTGGGGCCGGTTAGAAGTGAAGCTCGTTAGATTCAGAATTCTGAGTCTACATCCTGCATCTGCACAGACAAGCTGTGTAACCCCAGGGAAGTTATTTTTCATGCTGTGCATCTCAGTTCCTTTGTAAAATTCAGGAAAAGGCAGCTACTGCTTACTGCATGTGGGTTGTTGAGAAAATTGAGTAGTCCACATAAAGAACCAGCTATCACCAGGAACAGCTAAGGGCTCTCCACAAAGCACTATCCATTATCAAAAGTGCCTATTGTCCATTGAATGCCAGGGATACTGCAGTCATTAACTAAATGTGGGAGCATAGACAAGCAAGCTCTCACAGGACTTTATTGACATCTATTTAATAGCCTTTATTTAATTGTTTTATGTACACTTACTAAGTGATTTTTTTTACCAGGTGCTAGTTAAGTTGTAGGAATGTAGAAGTGATTGCACCATACATCTTGAACCTAAAGGAAATGTGACATGGAAAATAGGTCTTATTTTCGAAAGACAGCAAATTCCTGGGAGAAGACACAGTCTGAGTTACCTCCACATCTTCCACTGGATAAGAGCCCGGTAGACGTTCATGAACAAAAGGGATATTGATAATACTTAAACAAACAACATAAGGTTGCTGGTTAAATTACACATCCAGTCCAAACATAACACAAGTTTCTAGTACCCTACACTTTGGAAATTTGCTAGGTTGGGAATTAAATTCTCTACTGCACATTGGGAACAGGGTAAGGGTTTTATTTCAGAGAAGGATGGTGACTGAGGAACAGAAAACAAATACTGAAAGAGCCTTGTCTTCTTAGTTGGGATCCCTGGATACCTTGGACAGTACCAAGCACTTAAAAACAATGTAGCAGCAGTGCATAAAAGACCAGGAGGGTTGATTCCCTGTTTTCTGATTGCTTCTGCATGACTGGCTGCTGATCCTGAAAGGGAGCTGACTCAGCACCTGTGCTCTAAGGCAATTTGTACTTCAAGGCATGGCACAAAGTAGAAGCTCAATGAACATCTGCTGAGTGAACAGAAAGCATTCATCAGTAGGAGACAGAGGCTGCAGTCTCATCCTGATGATGCATTCCAACCCATCATCTAGCAAGAGATTCAGAAGCCAGAAGTTGTTTCTAAAATTGTCACAGAGATCTGAGTTACTAGGATTTCTGTTGAGAAGGAATCAGGGCTTCCTCTGTCCTTGGAGACATGTGAAAGTTCTGTAACCACCAGGATGAAGGAAGGAAGGAGTTTTAACCCAAGGGACATTTCCTGAGTCCCTCAGCTAGTAAGTTGCCCAGAGAAGCTCCAAGTCATTATAAGATGAAACTTTCTGAAATGAAATTGTTTTTAATCAAATTGGTTCCCTCCCCAATGTCCCCTTGACTTAATGGTAATGTCTTTCCTCACTACCTTCTGGATTGCCACCTTTGTCAGTTCCTCCTGTTGCTGATTATCACATACAACAATATCCAATAGCATTTGCAAATAGAATGCTAAACAGTCTCTTAAGTGAAACTGTAATCTTGAAATAACTGTAAAATTTAATGACGTTAAATGACAGCAAACTGCTGTCCCTTACAATGTGCTTTACAAATGTGCACAGAGCAAAGCTGGGTTAATTCAAAATTGAGGCTGAGAAATTTTAAAACATACAAACATCAAAGGCACTGGGGTGAGTTGAATAACCAGACTTGAGTTAGAGTTTCTGAAAATTTGAAAAAAAATTTAGTTCTTTTGTAGATAATTTATCTTTTATCTAAATCTGTTGTAAAAGTTCATCAGGAAGTAAAAGACACTTCTTCATGCTCTCATATGATTTCATAAAAAAATACATCAAAACAACTTGATTTGTTCAAGTAATTAACTCATGGCCATAATCAGAAGTCATTGGGATATTATTTATAAGGAAGATAAAGCAATCTTGATCTCATACATTTTAACTTCATAATAGTAACTGAACCTCTTTTTCACAATTTAATATGACTTTCTGGTCTCTGAAACAAGTTCTGTCTCAGTGGTCTTTCAGCCATCGCCAGTGTTCTTGTTTGCAAGATCTGGGAGGTTTGGGGTCTCACAAAGAACCTGTGGGAGATCCCAGGTGTCCTGGGCTTTGCACGACACTAATTCCCACTGCCTGTTGCCATGGCTACAGTCAGCAGATACATGGATTGCAGCAGGAGTGGACTCAAGCAGAGGAGCAACACGACTATCTGTGCACAGCCTGGATGAAAGGGGCAGGGAAATGCTAAGAAACTCCCCAGTCAATGTCAGGGACATGGCTACCACAAAGCAAGAAGACCATATGCTCAGAAAGTCTAATAATTAGGATGATGTTGATGTAAACCTTATAGTTATCATGGTAACAAGTGCTTGAGAATAATAATGCAGGAGCTATAAGAAATCGTGAAGAAAAACAATGCTTTTCAGTTATTATTCTTATTGATTGCAGTACATTCAGGAAAACCTGGGCTTATGTAGGCACTTTCTGTATCTCAGGGTCTTTCACTGTGGGACAATTTTCCAGAAAAGGAATTCTTTGCTTGAGATTAAAAACTTTGAGGGAGATCAAAAAACTTTTGCTCATGGGTCTATTTGGATGTCTATCCTGTTAAAAAAAATAAACTATATTTATTGAGAAAGAGAGAGATCCTAACCTTGAAATATTGACTTCATCCATCCTTGTCAATACTCTCAGTCCCAAGATCACATTAAGCCCCATGTCTATTACAGATACCCAGGTCCCTCTGCATTCTACCCAGAAGGTTTGGGACTTGTACTTTCAGGGCACTTTTAGAGTTTCAGTCCATCCCTTATAAGGTAGGACCAGTATGATACCATGTCCAGCAAGTATAGACAAACACAAATGTCAAGGCCAAAAGAGAAGAGGATTAGACATTCTACTTACTGGTGGCCCAGGGCTCCCTGGGGGCCCCATGAAACCTGGAACTCCAGGATGACCCTAGGAAGACAAAAGGAGTAAGTCTTAAAGAAATCACTTATTAAAAGGTTTTTACCTTAAGCAAATAACAAATTTCAGGTAGGAATCCAGGATCTGTCTTTTAATGTCACTAACAATTTTGGTTGAAGACACTGACAACAAAAGATATTTTCATGTGTTACTGCATTTCATATTTTCATATAATTACAATATAATTTTCATGTATTACTAGAGATCCAGTAGGTGGAGAAAGTAGCTGACAATATTTATAAAAATAAATATGTCCTGGAGGCAGATTTGCTTCCAAATAATGTGGGGTGACAGGTTTTGGGGAAGTAGTTAAGAATATAGATGGAAACCAGAGTGGTAATAATATCTGAAAGCTCTTGTGGCTATGTGTTGGGCGCCTGGGGATTCATTTTATTATACTGTAAACTTTGTAGATATACTTTCAGTGTTCCTTAGTAAAAAAACTCTAAAAACAAGTAAATGCACATACACTCATATATACATATAGTTGTTCCTCACATCACACAGACACCAGAATCTGAGGATGCTTAAGTCCCTTGTATAAAATGGTGTACACTTACATCCTATATTACTCTATATTACTTACAATATCTATTGCACTATAAATGATACAGAAATAGGTATTATACCACATCATTTAAGGGATGACAAGAAGTCTATTATGCAATTATTTTTTTTGTTGGTCCTTGGGTTTGAACTCAGGGCCTTGAGATTGCTAAACAGGCACTCTACTACCCAAGCCATACCACAACCCTTTTTGTTTTAGTTATTTTTCAGACAGGTTCTTATATTTATGCCTGAGCCAGCCTGGACTATCATCCTCCTATTTATGCTTCCTGAATAGCTAGGATGACAAGCTATGCTTCCTGAATAGCTAGGATGACAAGCACATTCCACCATACTCAGCATTTTATTGGCTTAGATGGGGTCTCCAGAACTTCTTGCCTGGGTTATCCTTGAACCATAATCCTCCCAATCTCAGTCTCCCAAGAAGCCACCATGCTAAGCAAAAATCTAACTTTTTAAAATATTTTTGATCTATGGTTGGTTGATTCCATGGATACATAAGCCATGGATATAGAGGACCAATAGAGATGTATTTACATCTCTATCTATCTATCTATATCTTTATCTATCTATCTATCTATCTATCTATCTATCTACATTCATTCAGGTTGGATCAATTCAATTATGACATCAACATGATAGTGCTATTACACTTACTTTAAGAAAAATCCATTTCTCTATGTAGAAAAGAGTCTCCTGTGTATTACAGAATGAGCCATTCATTCTATATTCATTCTATTACAGTACAGTGTATGGAATCTAACATTTAGTCTAGTACAACAATGTTATAAAAACAAACAAACCACCAAAAAATAAATTATTTTCTTCCACTCCACCTCCACGCCCTGAACTGGAAAACATAAGGTATAGCCCTCAGTACAGAGTGTATTGACTCCCACATGTCATTCCTGTAAAGAAAATGCAAATGTGTTTTGCTTTTCCTTTTAGCTGAGTGCCTCCTTCCAATCTGAGTAGAGCTCTTAGCTCCCTGCCTGTGAGTCACTTACTTAGTGCCCCACCCTCTCATTCAACTACAGACACCATGAGGTCAGGATCAACCCCTTTCTTATCCTGTGTGTTAGAGCCTAGGGTGGTGCCTGCACCCTAGGATATGAGATGCAGTGAAAGTCAAAGGGAGGGATGTGGGAGAGAGGAAAAGAAAAGGAGGAGGAAGAAATGGTAGCAGTTGAATAGAAACCCAGAGCCATTTTAGCTGGCATCAAGGCTGCTGGAGTGAGGCTGGGCAGAATTGACTGGCAATACTGAATCCATGATGATCCACTATGAGAGTGAGAGTGAGAGTGACAGAATGTATTCAAGAAACGGCATCTGGAGGATGGGGGGATTTTATAACGAATGAGAGTCAGCAAAATAGTACAAAAACAAAAGAAAAGAAAATGGGGAAGGTTCCTGAGACAACTGGGGAAAAGAGCAGGATGACAATGCAGAATGGAATGGAATACAATGGAAACCAACAAAAGTGATTTAGAAGTTCCTCCTACAGGCACAGAAGAGGCAATGGGTGGCATCAGAACAGTAGAAGGGAAGCTTCAGGGTGAGAGATTCATTATAAAGGAAATTTCTCCTTACTTGATCACCTTTCTGTCCAACCTCGCCATCTGCACCACGCTCTCCTTGGCTTCCCTTGAAAGGCAAACAAAGAAAGAAAAATCACTGGAAATTTCGCTATAGCTACATTATATAAAAAGTCATACATTCATTCATTCACCCATCCATCCATCCGTTAATCCATTTTCAACAAGCTCCTACTAAGTTTCTGCTGTGTACCCAACATGGTGACAGCAGACAGAAAGAAATGGGGTTTGCTTGAGGGATTGCAGGTGAAACTGCTTAGCTGGTTTGGGGGATACCACAGAGGGGACATCAGAAAATTTCACTGGGAAGGAGGCACAGCCTAACCTTTAGTTGTAGGCCCTGACACTATTAGAAGAATGGACGATCATCTTAGATTTTAGCTGTGGCTAAGGTATGAGGTAAGCTAGATGATCCAGGCTAAGAAGAGAATGAACCAGGAGGGAACTAGGGTGCTCTGGGAGAGAGTAAGCACAGGCAGAAAAACCATCATGGTGTCTGCAGGTCGTCCAGAGCATGAGTGTGAGTGAGGAAGAAGGAGAAATCGAGACAGTGAGGGACAGGGCAGTGCTGTACACTGAGCTTTGGAGGAAGAATTTCTCCATACATATGGCCCCGACTCTTTCTCCTAATAACTGTGGGACCTGAAAGGCCACTCACACTCTTAGAGTAATTGTTTTTTCATCTATAAAAAATGAATGATGCCTACCCTGTGAAATATTGAGAGAATACAACTAGGTAATACATGGAAACACTTCACGCAGAGCTCCTAAAGATTGGGTATGATTATTATTTTTGTTAGTTTGTACTTCCATCCTAGATTTCTCACTTACTATTACTGGGCAAGGTGATTCAGCTCTCTGTCTCCCTACTTCTAAAGAAGAAGAAGAGGAAGAATGGTATCTATGTTGTGGGGCTGTTCTGAGAATTAAACGACATAAAATCTATAAGGTGCCTAGGTTAGTGGCAGGCTCAGTGCTAACAATCAATAAACATTGTCCATCTTCCGCCTCATTGTCCTTATCACCTAATCATCACCCTCATTAGCACTACATCTCAGCATCAACATTGTCATTGTCACCATCACCACTGTCACTATTGCCATCCCATCACCATCCTTATCTTCCTCTGTCACCAAGACATTGAGAATATGCAACCTATTTGAAATATTTTTATAGTCTAACCCTAAAAGTACCCTAAAAGGTTCCAATGTCTTAACTATCACTCATCATGGTTTAGTATTTAATGTGTTAACAAATGTAATTGAACAAGATGTTACCAAGCCAAAATACTTCAGTTCCTTTAAAATAATGCTTGTGAGTTAAATAAGTCTCTAGCAGTGATTGATCTTAGCTCTGGTTCCATTCCTGTTGCTCTTCATGTTCGTATTCTTGAGTAGATCACACCACACACATCTGTTTGCTCATCCAGTAAATGAAGCCGGGGAGGTCAGTCAATGAGGGTCCTTTTGAGGTCAAAGCTCCACTGTTCTCCCACTGAAATGTCAAGTCCAGCCCTCTTCACACACAGCCTGTTCCGCCACACGTTCTTTAAAGACACGACTACATAATCACACTCCCTCTCTCCTTCCCTGGGGTGTGTTGGGGGGGTTATGTGAGCTAATGCCTATAAAATGCTAAAAGGCATTGTTTAGAGGTGAAAAAATTGAGTTCATGGGGAAGAGCATTTATTCCAACATTTTTGCTTGTAATTATATCTCCTGTTTCTAAATCTATAAAGCTAGCACACTGTCTGCAGGCTGCTTTATAATCAATGAAAAAAAGTGCTATAGAATAGCACACTGCTCCCTGACACTGAGGACAATTGTGTTAAAGGTAAATGGTTTCCTTTCAAATCCCAGGCTTCAGCCCGCAGAGTGATTTCAGCACTAGCCTGGAAACAATGAAAATGTCAGGAGCTCAGGGTGTTTATAGTTGTCCCTGTCTCTGTGTCTACAGCAGCCGAGGTTCAGAGCAAGTACAGCCACCTCCAAGCCTGACTCACTTCCTTCCAGAAAGGGGGTTGACATTTCCAGGGCCCCTTCTTTACTGGGCATTCTGCCACTTTTTCCACAGGAGGTCCCATTATATGTAGTTCATTGTTTATATACTGAGTTGATGCCAAAAATATGTAATATGTCTATGATATCTATTTTAGCCAGTAAGACTGCTATTGACATAGGGATCTTCATAGAGAGGATCTATGAAGACCAGACAGGTTAAGTAATTCACCTGAGGTCACACAGCTAATAAAAAGCGAGATCTGGAATCTAATGCACACCAGGCTGATTAGCAAGTATCCAAGCTGTGGCTTGTTGCCCAAGTTACTGCCCTGGCTATTTCCCAGGCCACGATGCCAGGTCCCACAGGTTTTATACTGTCCAGGGCACTTGATTTGGAGTTAGGAAGACTCATGGACCATGCTGACTGTGGACCAGGCACATTGCTATGCAGTGGAAACACGACAAGGAGATGTTCTTATCCCTGGGAGGTTAGCCATTCATTTCTTCACCAGCTCAGTTCTCTTCAGAAGAAGTTTACTGAGGAACTTTGTAAAGGTTTAATTCTCCCTGCTGAAAATAAGAGAACATGACATTCCCACCACACACAGACACACTTTTCTTAGAGCATTTATTTTAGAAAGCTATCCTATCACTGTAAATTCTGTCTCTGCTCTTTAAAATGCACATAAATCATTTTAAAGGTGATTCTTTTGTCCAAACTATGATCAGGGACCTGGGAATGTAGGAATGATTTCTTTAAAATGTAATCAGCAAAGAGCATTACTGCTCTATCTTGCAGATTCTACAGGATGAAAGGAGCCTAACTCCAGCAGGTGTCTAGTCCAATGTGCAAAACTGCCTCCTATCATAAAGACGGGAGACATTTCTCTTTCTTCTGGATAAGACCAATCAGCTCACATAAATGGTCACTGCAGTTACTGGGCAAACCTGTGGTAAAGCTGTGGTGAACAGTGTTGCTGAGTCCTCACACCTAAGGACAGGTTCCAGTTGTCCTGAGTATGCATGCAGTAGGCGGCTATGCATTTGGCTATGGAAGACAGAAGTTCTGCTCTGAATCTATGACCTCTTAGTGAGCCTGGGATGCTTATTCTTGCATAAAATTGCTTTTTTCCTCTTCTACCTTTGTGGAGAGATTTTCTGGGTTAGGAAAAGATCTTGGTTATTTTTAATTATATTTAAGTATAAACTAATGCAAACATTAATTTTAAAAACCATAATTTTTCACTTGTATTTCAATTACTCTTGCCAGGGGCCACTTTAAGGTTGCTGACCTTTGTAAATCAAGTCTGTGGGGCAGGTGATTTTCTCCTGAGGTTTGTTATCTGTAGGGGGCAGGATCAAAAAGTCTCAAAATAAAAAGTCTCAGCTATCTTCAGAACAAGCCCTCCTCTGAACCTCTGTCTCTGTTTCCCTGCTTGGAAAACCATTTCCCACAGATGCCTGGCAAATCCTGCCTAACCCATCAATGCAAATAAATCCCACCTCCTCTAGGTGGCCTGTAGAGGTCACCCCTTATCCCTTGACACCTTCATGTCACTTACTCTTTTGACATCTGCTGTGTTTGCTGTTAACTCAGACAGAGCAAGAGCTGTGAGGCCCACCAGTGGACACAAGTGCTAAATGCTTCCTACGTGCTGGGCTCTGTACATTTTCTTTTGTTAGCACTTACATTTTCTTTGTGAGTTAGGCTTTGTGGATATAGACAAAGACCCTAAGGCTCAGAGAATTTAAATTAATGCCCAAGTCCTATAATTAGGGAGTAAATCCACTCAGCTAATACAGCAGGTTGGGAACCACCAGCTTCCAAAGTCCAGGCTTATGCCCACTGATCTGAGAGCTTCCAGGCTCAGCTGGCTTTTCCAAGTGTCCCCCACCAGTCACTCTCCTCTATCACAGCATGGCCCATATCTGACCTCCTCTGTGTCTCTCTTCTCAGTGCCTTTTGGAAGGAAACTGTTGAAGGGGACACTTAGAGACAGTTTTTCAGGACTGAGCAGCTGTGGGTAGAAAAGATGCCTGTTCATGAACAGAATATGCAGCAAATGGCTCTGTGACCTTCTGGGAGAACAGGATTCTTGGGGCCTTTCTGACAGTATGAACAGCAGCAGATATTATCTCTGTCTCTCCAGAATTATCCAGAAATTCCAAGAGGACTTCTGTTCACTATGGTGAATCCAAACACCCCAATACCTGGCTAGTGGATGTGCAATGAGAAGGAAATAAAATGCCCCCCATGTGGGATAGATAATTCAACATCTCTGACTTGGGAGATGCTTATTACATTTGACTACAGAACTACATGCTCCCATCTTTGTGATTATCATCTTGCTCCTTCTTCCTCCTCTTCATGGATCACAACCACAATGGCAGCCACAATCTCCAAACGCTGTCCCTTAACAGACTTTAATGCAGTTTCAAAACCCTAGAATGGAGCTCTCTAACTGACCATGGTATAAACCTATCCAACCTCAGCCCAGAGAGAGCAGCTGCAAATCTGCAAGAAATCTTGCTTCCCAGATTCTGAATCACAACAGCAAACAAATGAACCAAACCCTCTTGGCAAAACTCATGGCCAATGAACATTTGAAGCCTTCGGTTGCAGAAGGGTTCTAATGGTGATTGTAAGTACTCTCTCATGGGCAACATTTTCAGTGTACAAATTCATCTCTGTGTTCACAAGTCTAGCAGAGATATTGTTGGACAAGTGATATTGAATAGAGAGAAAATGAAACAGTCCTGCCTTCTGGAAAGTGGCATGGGGGTAGACGAAGAACACAGAAACTGGCTAGAGTTTGAAACCAAGAACAAAAATACAAACCTATGGATATTCAGAGCAGGCATTACCCTCTCTTTCTGATTCCTTTTCCTAACAATAAATGGTGGTAAGGGGAGGCCGTTAGAGGGCCAGTACCAGTCAACACAGATGAAAGCACTGCCCTGGGTTGGGAGCTGTCCTGGGTGCTGGTGTAGGTATTATGCAATGGAACAGCGATATGGGACCTCAAATTAGACTAGCAGAGTCAACCTCAGCAGTGCTGCTACTGACTCTATTACTAAACCTTAGTTTCTTCATCTGCAAAGTGGGGTAATAGCTCCACCTTCTAGGACTATGCTGACCACTGCAGGGGATGGTATTGTAAAGCAGGAATCCTGTCCCTAAAAAACTTGGTGCACTGCACACAGCATCCCATGAGGGCTCACTGTGAAGGATGGATTCCAAGCCCCAAGAACTTCTTAAGGTCACCTTCAGCTCCACTCAGTCTTGTTCCACTCAGCTTTGATTTTTGTTTGTTTGTTTTCTGGACAGAGGCTCTCTTCTTAAAGAAGAAAACCCTCTAAGGGAAGAAGAATAGATCCAATTTCCTAAAACATCAGCATTTCAGGCTGATTGGGCTGTTAGAGAAAACAGTCCCTATCTACTGGAGGAAATGCCTTATCTGTTTAATTGATTCACTTTTATTTCTCTGGATAAAGGGCACTCCTTGGCAGAGGTTAAGCCTAGCAGACCAAGTTCACAGCAAAAGTTACCTAGTATGGCTGGAATTACAGACCACAGAATTCTCCAGGCAAGGAGCTGAGCCTCCAACAGCAACCCCAGACAGGAAGGCCGGCACAGTGAGCAGCAGGGACATAGAAGAGGCTGTATTTCCTTGATGCCCCTTAAGCTAATGCTGTCCCCGGGGAAATATCTTATTCCAGCTAGACTGAGACCTGATAACAGTGGTTTTGAAGTAAAAGTCTTGGCTATGTTGAAACCCTCTACATTTTTAAAGGTCCATGAATCACAAATGTAGACATCTTAGCCTGCCAGCAAGGGCCTGGGAGACCTGGCATTTCCCATCCTGACACACCCAGGGCTGGCTGTGTCACACCACATGTTTTTACTTTCTTTCCTTCTAAAAGTAATAATTATATCTCCAACTCCATTTCCCAGAGCTGGTCCCAGGGTAAGGCAAGGGAAATACTTGTGTTTGGTACCAAATACACCAGAAACCCAGGTAAATAATATTCTAATGCAACGCTTTTGAAAGACGAAATCAATTTTAAAAGAATCCAAAATGAACAAAGTATCTATATGTAAATAAACACAGGGAACTGGATAGACTGAAGTTAGGGAAGGTGAATGAGAGAAGTTATTCATATGGAAGGTTGGTCCTGTCTTTATTTTTAATTTCAATATTTTTTTCCTGTGGATCTAGTGCCTTGATTTTAAAATTCAAAAAAAATTGCATTAAAGTATATTTATCTTGGGTACTGAGGATTTTGGATTCTCCTTACATTTTATGGCCAAATTTTCACCCTAATTCTGGCCCTACCATAGGCAGTGACCCCATGAGCTGAAAGAGCAGTAAGATGACTAAGGGATCATCTGGTACTAAGGGATCATCTGGTACTAAGGGATGTACCAGACACTCACAGGGGCATTTTACCTGCTGTTGTCATGGGGAGAAGCCCATTTGGTAGCTGCTCTTGGATACTCCCTAGTTTAGTGAAAGAAAGGGGGGGGGTAGAGATGTCAAGAAACTCTCCCCAGGTTACAGAACTGAGATGGGGTCCCACTCCAAGGTCTAACTCCTGACCTCTCTCTCCCAGCCACAACTTTATGCAGCTCTCCATTCAGGAAGCCATTCTGATATGTCCAGTCTGGCCACAGTAAGAAACAGGGACACACTTGTCCCAGTGTGTTGTAGGGTAGGCACATGTCTTTGAAACCACATGGGAATAAGGATACACCCTGGGAAGCACCAATGACAGAGATGGGGAACAAGGGTGGGAGGTGTGCTTTCCCCTCCTGCCCCCATCCCATGCAGTCACTTCTAGAGATGACAGTCACCAAGAACAATCGCAGCAGCCACAGCCATAGAACACTTGTGGTGACAACCAGAGCACTTCCCTGCCTGTTCTGTGGTTGAAATCATGCCTCCATCCTCCCTGTGGCCTCCCTGGCTCTGTAAAGTCAAGAGCTTGTGGCTGATTTTAAATGGATGAATCATTCACATGAGGACAGTAGTGCTTGCTCTTGCATTTCTAAATAATTTTCCTAATTTTTTATTGAGCACCAAGTTCTTTTGATACATTCTGTAATTCAGTTCTAACATATCTCTCAAGGTATTTTTATTATCAGCAGCAGATAGTGAAGGTGAAGTATCCAATACCAAAGTTCATGTCTTTTTTTTTTCTTTTGATGGTACTGGGGTTTGAACTCAGGGCCTCATGCTTGCTAGACAAGAACTCTACCACTTATGCCACACCCTCAGCCCTTTTGGCTTTTAGCTTATTTTCAGACAGGGTCTTACACATTTGCCCAATCTCAAATAGTAAATCCTCCTACCTGCCTCCCAAGTAACTGGGACTACGGCATGACACTACCATGCTGATCCAAAGTTCACATCTTTCCTAGTAAGTACCACACATTCCAGAATCCTAGTGCACTTCAAACTGTGTGACACTCAGGACTTTGTAAAGGAGTAGCGGAGGCTGTGCAAGTTGAGCTCACTTGCCCAGGTCACTAATATAATGAGTACTATGATTAGAAAAGCCCTGGAACTTAGATGAACCAGGGCGATGAGTAAAATGGAACATGCAGATGTTATGGAGTCTCACTGACCTGTGGTCCAGCTATTCCAGGGGGCCCTGGAAGGCCTTGGGGCCCAGCATCTCCCTGTAGCAGGGACACAAGGGGAAAAAAGATAAGAAAAATATGAATGGAGTCTGTGTCAAGAGTTGTCATCAAGCCGTTAGCCTTGCAACTCTTTTAACTGAATTTTCCTCCAGATTCCCCTGCAGCCAGCCTGTCCCCAACACATCCAGGCAAAGGGTGTAAGCAAGTAGTTTTACTGAGTGCAGCTATGCAATCGGGGGCATAACTACCACTAATGCAGTCAGCTGCTATGGTAGCCAGTCACCTAGGAGGCCCAATGGCTACTGCCTCTCATATTTGCACCCCCGAGTAGCCCCCATTTGGATCGTGAGTGGTCTGTGTGGCCAACAGACTACAGCAGAAGTGATGTGTGTCACCTCTGAGATTAGGCTGCAAAAATGTCTGGCTCTTGCCTTCCTCCATCCATGTTCACTCTCTAGCCAACCTCTCATTCTCAACCTCTTATCTCAACCCCATGAGGCAACTCCATACAGAGGCTGTGTGGGAAGTATAGCCAGTGAGGAACTGAGCATTCACCCAACAGCCACAGGGTGACCCTGTCTCAGAGGGTGTTCATTGTCAGACATAACTTGAGATGACTGCAGCTCAAGCTTTGAGGTCCACCCCAAGAAAGACCTGAGTCAGAACTAATCCACTAAGCCACTACTGGATGCCTGCCCCTGAGAAACTGTGAGGTCATAAACATTTACTGTTTTGAGCTTGTTTATAATGAAGTGACATGTAAAAAATACCCTTGAGAAGCAGGGGTGCCCAGGGGGAGAACTGCTGCAATGAGAGTCAGAAGCACATAGCACCTCACTGTGTGTGTATGTGGATATTCATATGTACATGTACATAAACAATTGTACACATACCATATGTTCTTTGTGATTGTTTTCCTTGCTTTGGACTAACTAGAGTGGCAGCTGCCTGACACTGAGGAGGGGTTGCCCAGGTGGAATGTCCGGCTGGGAGTTGTGGAACAGAGTGTTTCTGAACTTCAGAATTACTCGTTGTTGTTGTTGTTGTTGCTGTTGTTGTTTTTCAACAAATGTAATGCATATTGCATCCCTGATGACTGATGCAAAGGCCATGTAGGGAAGAGTCCTGTAAGGGATTTATCCAAAAAAACTCCCTGAGAGGCATCTCCAAGGTGAACACTCCTGGGATCAACCCATAAATAATCACCCATCCTAATTAACTAAATAGTTTTCTGAGTTGTTTAAAAGTAGACTGGAAAGAATAGATTCATAATATGGATATGAAAACATCCACACATGACCATTTACACTGAGATGTGACACAAGAAATATCACAAATCAAATGAATACTTACCTTTGATGGCTTGATAAGTAGAAGAATTTGATCAAATGTTAAGTGTTCTTAATCAAATTGCTTTGGAATTGGCCCCTATCCCTTCCCAGGGTTCCAAAGCATGTGGAGGAATTTCTGGCATATACCCGCTAAATACACCTGCACAGTTTGATCTTTGGAGGGGGGATATGTGTTATTTAAGGCCCAGAGAAAAAGAATGAAGGCCACATTTCATATCTGTATTTGTATCTGTCCCATGTAAAGGTTAAACAACTTACAAATAAGAATTTGTATGTTAACTCTTCCTTTTGAAAATAAGACTCTCCCTTTATCTCCTTTTCTTAAGTATTCACTGTAGAAAGCTTGTTATTTTGAACACTTTCTATCATTAAAATGTACACAAATCCTTTTTTTAAAAAGGCAAAATAAGGTTTTGCCAGTTTTATATCCCAGCAATGTCTTTTTCAAGGACTTGGATCCATCTCTTTGGAATATAACCACAAAGGGAGATAACGGCTCTACCATCCAATTCTGTAGGAAGTTGCAAAACTACCTCCTATCATACAGATGGGGGATGCTTCTCTTTTTGCTGGATAGGGCCAATTAGTTGACATAGATGGCCATTCCAGGTACCAAGTGTATCTAGGGTGAACATATGTGGCAAATGGTGCTGTTGAATCCTCTCGTTTGAGGATTCATTGTTGCCTATCTTGAGACTATGTATGCAATGGGTGACTATATCAGCTTGATTATATGAAAGAGTGAGATTTTTCTGACTTTGCATTCTCTCAGCAGATTGCCTGTGATGTGCACCACAATCTGGTTTAATACTTATTCAATATTAAATTTTCCCCTCTTCTACCTTTGTAGAGATGTTTTTAAAATTTGGGAACAAATTTCAATTATATCCCCTACACCCATACGTAACCCCCACCCCCACCCCATTCTGCCCAAGTCAGCACATGAACTCCAGAGCACAGGGTCTCAGTCTTTCTTCTAGGCATCTCCAGTGTCAACATGTTGACTGACACACAGAGCATGCTTAATATGGTGTCAAAAATGATGACCGATGGATGAGTGGATGGATGGATGGATGGATGGATGGATGAATGGATGGAACCATGATATGAAGACCTACCTTTGCGTCTAATATATAATAAATGGTACAATATTGGATGGATGGAAGAAAAGGGGGGAAGTAGGTCAGTCAACTGAGTGTGAATTTCTAGAAATCAACATGTATTAGAATGTCATTTTCCTCTTAAAATGACAAAGTCCCACAGACACTCAAGTTTTACATTTTCCTAGCTCTGTCACTGCAAGCCTGTGCTCACCTGTGAACTCTAATCATCAAAGCCTGCATACTTTTGGAGGCTGGAGGGCCAGTGTTGCGATCCCCAGCATGGTAGTTGCAATGATGAAGACCAAATTTCCCATTCTCTCCTTACCTTTTTCCCTTCTATGCCTTCTCTCCCTGGCTTTCCTGGGAGACCTTTGTCCCCTTTAAAACCTGGCAGACCAGGAAGGCCTGGGGGGCCAGGAGGACAGTCATTGTACACATCCTGAGAGAAGAGAGAATGAATAAATGACACAGTTACTTGCAAAGCAAAGGGCCTTAACTCCTGTCTCCCAGGATGGAGATTTTGTTTTCAGATGCAAGCAAAGATGGAAAAGCAAATGGATGGATTGAGTCATTACCCAGATACTTTTGTGTCAAAACTTTACATTTCAGCACTGATATGTTTGGATTATTACTCAACTTCCCCCTACTTCTGGCCAGCCAGACTGCTGGAAGTACAGCCTAATAAACATGATGCCCAATACACATGTAAAAACACCTGTGAGCATCAACAAGTTCCAGTACATAGTTAAGACAAATACTTAGTATTAGTAAAAACCATATGCTCTGCCCCTGAGGTTAGAGTCAAACAGCGTGGGAGTGGAAGTCTTGCCATGTGACCAAGTAAAGTGGTTTCTGAAGAAAGAACAAAGGAGTCAACAGACACACACCTGCAGGGCATTCTTGCTGTGACACAAAACTAGGCTCTGCCCATGTTTTGGATTGTTTTTTACCTAAGGGAGGCATTTAAAAAGGGTTCTCTGAAAGTGAGCTTTGTTTACTTCTTCCAGGCAGAAATAATGCTGTCTCTGGAGTAAATTGAAAGTCCTGACAGCCCTGGGAACACCCTGATTCATCTGTGTCACCTCTAGATCTTACAGTTTGGAGCACAATGAGTACCAAGTGAAGCTCACTTGACCACATTCTAGCAACCTTCTGTTGTATGTTATCTCTTAGATACATCCTCCAGGTTCTTTTCTCTAATTCTCCCTCCCCTCACCTTGTAATAAGTTTAACGAGATAATACAAATACAGCACTGAGAACAGTGTTAGGACAGATTCATGCCCAGGACATTTTGCTATCATTATTAATTCATTATTCGATAATAAATGCCCTCTTTGAAAAAATACCTGCAAATCATCTGCTCCATGTTCAGAACTGTGATGAGCTTTGAGACATCAGAGTGTGTGCCTCTTGAACAGCTAGTGGTTGGTTGGTATCAACCAACACAAAGTAAATGCACTAAGGTCTACTGGATGCTCTGTTGAGGAACCTGCAAAGGCACATGAAAGCTACACCTGTTCATATTCAAAGTGGTGCTGTCTCAGGTGATTTAGCATTCATCTTGGTTGGTCCCTAATTCCAGAATGTAGTTTTTCCATTACAAAAGTAAGTCTAAATGATTTTCACTTGTTTATCTCTTACTTAGTCTTTGAAGATTCTTTAGATGTTTCCTGCTCCAAGGAACTTTCCTGATGGCCTCTGGATGAGGACAGGCTCATTGTGCTTCCACTGACCCCAGGAATTATCACCACTGAAGTTATTTGCCTCACATTTGGAATGGTCAGTTTATAACCCAATACTAACCTAACCAGGCAAAAAGAAAGTGTGAAGTCTCAGAATACAAAGGTAGAGTTTTTTTTTTTAATCTTTGTATGTACAGTTCATTAAAAGTAATCTTTCATGGCACCAGAATAAGCCAAATGACTCAGCCAACCAACCAACCAATCAACTACCTGATCTTTTGTTATCTTCTGCCATCTTCCTGTAGTGGGTAGTATAAGAAACTGATTAGACGTTTTAGAAGGTGAGGAATGCTAATTACTGGGAAATATGGAGCAAGGGTGAATGACATAAGATGAAGGAAACTGTGGTTGTTGTGTATTTTGGAGGGAGAGCTGAAAAGTAGCACGTCAGGGAGGAACTCACCTATTCCTACATCTTCTATTATATACTTTAAAATGAGATACATCCATAAAACACTGCAACCATGAATGGATATGTGTGTAGATGGATGGGGATGGATGGATGGATATGTGGATGGATGGGTTGATATGTGGGTGCGTGAAGAGGTGGGTAGCTGGACATGAATGAAGCTAGCTAGATGACAGCAAGACCGTCAAGATTTTACTGAACTTAGAGTGTACAGTGGTCTTTGGGAACCATTATTTGCAGTAGCATCATAACATAAAGAAGTTACATCTGAGAAATAAAAAGATCTTAATACTTTCTTATTTCTTTCAAATTTCCAGTAGGGCTCTCAGCTTGAGTTTGTCTTTTCTGCAGACTATGTGAGGTAGTTCCCTGAAGAACAGAGATGTCAGCAGCCCAAGACATACCAGTGATGGGGCTGGACTCAGTATCCTGGCCCAGTTCAGAAGTTTGGTGAGCACGAAGTGAGATCAGTCCCACTTACAGTCCTACTAATGTTCCCTTTGGGTCTGGAACTCCTGGGACCTCCAGTCCCTCTTGATCTTCCACCCCTCTTTCTAAAGACACTTCATGCCTTCTCTGAATTCCTTAAGACTGGAAACAGGGTCCTGCTTCTAACCAGATGAACTTGTCTAGGCTCCACCAAAACCTCTGCCCACCTGGCATACGGCTTTATCTTTCTGAGCCTCACTCTATCTGTGAAATGAGGACCTTAAGACCTATGATAAATGAGAAAATGAACAGAAAATGCCTAACACCACACCTGGAACACAGTGAAGACACAATGAAGTTTTAGCTACTTTATGTACCCTTATAGTTTCAGTTATTATTTTATACCCTAAATCTCTTTTCCCATTCACTGATTGAGAGCTTGGACCATCAAGCTTCCAATACCTTGATTTACTGACTTTTCTTAGCCAAGCTACTCAGACCCTTTGAGTCTACTTCCTTATCTGTAGACAAGGATTATTTTCCTACTTTAGGAGATTGTTGTAAATTTTAAATTAGAGAATATATTCAAAGTGCCTAGCATGTGTTCAGATTTCATTATATATAAAATTATAAATTTTCCTTCATTTCTAGTCTCTATGTCTTCTTTTCTGAGATATTTTCAGCAAACACAGCATAGGGTGTCATTGTAGACAATATCAGGTTCAGTATAGCACAGCCTTAAAAATAAGTAAATGCTCAATAGAATGCTTACCGCCATAGGAAGGCTGTAGTCTTTACCATGGGAAAAGAGCAACTGTTGCATTCCAGAAGTAAAAATAACCTCCAGGTTAGCTCATCTAGCATTTTACTGGATATCTGAATCCTCACTGCAATATGACTACCAAAGGGTTGTATAGCCTGAACCTCAAGATCTATACGTAACAGGATGGGAACCCAGTAGCTTCCTGTATTTCATCAGAGAGCTGGAAGGAAGTTCTGGTTCATGCAAAGACAAAAATCAGATAGCAGAGAGGTTATGTGCAAGGGCACTGGACTTGGTAATTCTGGGTTCAAGTTTTGGCTCTGCAACTACCTAGCTCTGTAGCCTTGTTCAAGTGACTTATCTATGCCTCAACTTCCTCACCTGTAAAATGTAAACAATAATAGAAAATACCCAGAAAGCTGTTGGTGAAGATTGGATGAAATTTTATCCATGCAAGGCAGTTATCTAATGAAGACATCCTAAAGTTGACCTCTCTGGGCACAGATCCACTATAGAAGTCCATCTTGTAGAAGATGAACTTTCTACCCAGGCAGTGTTCTAACTCCAGAATGAGCTATATGATATTATAAAACTCACAGGGGGCAGAGGTAAATATTCTGTAATAAGAGATGTCTTCTCAGCAGGGAAGGAACTTGCTACCAGCCACCTGGACAGGAGCAGCAGTTTTTATCTTTTCACATAAAGTCAGCAACAGCTAACTGTAAAACAGGTTGCTAAATGAGATCAAGTCCACAGCCCTGGCCAAACCCACCTAGCCCAGGTTTTTGTCTACAGGCTTCCTAGCACAGCAAAGCTCTGTGGGACCAGAGAATGTGCAGGGGCTGCCCTGACTTCAGGTTTTTACATTCTCTCTGAGGGTTCAGCTGCTCAAATAAACACAGCTACAACCTTTAGCAGTTGGAGGACATTTGACTCAATATCTCAGGGCTGTGATTGTGAGGTGTGATGTTGATCCTCACAAGGTTCAATTCCATTATTATTAGCATTAAGATTGGGGCATCTTAAGGTGAAAATCCTCTGAGAGGAGGGACTGACGCTAGCCCAGGTTCTCAAAGACACAGAATTATGAAGAATGTTCGAGGTTAATAAAATTCATAACAGACAATGGATTGAATCACTGGATAATGATTTACCCTCATGTCATTGCTGGTGGGAAAAATCCTTCTCTTGCCAAAAAAGTCCGTAATTGCTCTACTATGCACTTTTTAATGAAAAGGATAATTGTCTGTTAAGACATCGCAATGTGTAGGGAGATAAAGTCTCATGCAAGCTTATGAGAAGGTCTTCATTTTCTTTCATCTTTCTCCCATGGTTTTATGTATGAACTAGGGATTTTCTGACATTATATATATATTTAAATTATAAGAAAATCAAAGTCCAATCACACAAACTCTAATGCAGACCTTTACCTAAGAGCTTGAAGTAGAGACAGCAAAGTGTTTTTGACTCCCATAATAGCAATGTTCTTTCTGAACCATAAACCTTACCCCTCCTCTTCTTGTGCACAGCCTTGTCTCACTATTCACAATTAAGACCCAAGATCCTTGGCAGACACCCAAGCACCTCCACAACTAAGCCTTCATGTGTTAACTGCAGCCATGTCCTGCCCTGCCCCAACTGAGTTATGCTCAAGCTCTCATGCCTTTGCCTCTCACAGGAAAGCTCTGAAGTCAGCTAAAGTCTGCCCCAAATCTGGACCTGGTTACAGGACCCAGAAAATGGCCTCCATCCCTTTGCTTCTCATCCTTGAGCCAGCATGACCTACAAAGTAGCTGTGTGACTCTGTCTCAGGCCCTTTTCAGAGCAGGAGGGAGATGGTCCTGTGTCAAACCAGTCTTTGACCTTTAAGCACTAGATTCTAGTCCCAGAATATTCTATTCTAACCGATTCTGTTCTGTTCTGTTCCATTCCATTCCACACATCTATTGACTCTCACAGTGTGACAGGTTTCTCATGCACAAAACAAGACCAAGAACATAAACAGTATCTACCTCACGGAGAATAAAGATCAAATAAGGATGCACAGCAAGCATTTAACACAGAACTGTCCAGAATGTTCTGCTCCATATCTTCATTGCCACATATGGTATCCTCGGCATATGGGGGCATAAAGGCCTTGGAAAAGTGCCCAGTGTGACCAAGGATCTGAATTTTTAAGTGTACGAATTGTAATTTTAATTCGGATAGATTCATATGGACAGTAACCTTATTTGATAGAGTGGGTTTAGCATATCACCAGACACACAATGAATTCTCAAAAGATGTCGCTGCTATTGGTGTTCCTAGTATATTTTTCAGAGAAAAAATTATTGAGCTCTCTAATATTCCCATCACCATTTTCAGTACACATGCACTTTTACCTTAACCAACAGATTTATGTCCCCTGGAGACAGTAGTGAAGAAGGGCCCTGTCAAAGTAAAAATAAATAAATGCACACATACACACAGACATATGGTATATTCCATGTATCTTCAAAAAGTGAATCATCTTCAAAGTGTAGACTGTAACTCAGAACACATCTCTACACGCATGGAACACAAATAGTCCAGTTGATATCCCATGCCTGCAAGCCACCCCAAAGGGGAGACTGAAGGGATAGCTGTTCAGGCTGCTAGCCTTAGCCAAGTCTGAGGAATTTCAGGCTTTTCTGTCCCCAGTTTCCTTCCACTGGGCCCTTCTCTTCTCCCGATGGTCTGTCCTCCCCACCCTCATCAACACCTGATGGGTCATACCCATCAGAGAAGCAGAGGCAGACTGTCTGCAGCCCAGACTGTCATAATTTCCCACATGGGCAAAAGCAGTTGCTTATTGGTCATTCACAGTCTGGTATGAACTTACACCAATGTCTTCAGCATTCACAGGTGAAATAGCACTTTAAACCTGATCTGTCAATGTGGGTTGAAAGTCTTCAATTCTACAAAGGAGATCTCAGACATCAGGCAGAAATTACAAAGCCTCTGCAGATATGTAAGATGCTGCAGTCACTGAGTTCATGTTCAAACCCACTGAGAGTTCTAGCAAAGCTTGTTATGCCTGGCCAGCCTAGAACCCAAGATAGGGTGGGAGCTCATTTCACATCTGGATGCAAGGAACACCAGGGAGAACTTAAAGGGAAGAAGAGATTCTTAAGGTATGAATTAGAGACTGGCAGGCATGCTACTTCACAAGCTTCACACTGTGCAACAGAAAAGGAGGAACCACTTACCAGAGGCACAACCGGGGACTTTTCCCCTGCAACATGGAGGCCTGGGCCACAGTTAAACCTGTGGCAGGCAATTTCTTCTGATTAAGTCTGACTTTAGTTGTATGAACCATGAGTCACCTTTCATCTGTGGGACGTTAAGACCATTTTTCTACTATCCTCTCTTTCCTGACTCTTTGAAGTTTCCATTCCATCTGTGGCTAACAAAAGTCACCTGACAGTGGTGACTGGAGACTGTCTGTTTTGTTTCCTATGCTGACATACTCAGAAATTCAATCAACCTCCCTGGGAAAATTGCAAGAGTAGTACCCAAGAGAGACTAGGATTGGAGTAACCAAGATTTGGAGTCACCAAAGGAATTGCTATTATGGCAATGAGGACCCATTAGCAAGCAGATGCTGAAGTGAGGGCTGAGACCTCCTTTGTCATCTGAGTGAGACCCCCTGGAGAAAGGCCAATCTTTGCGATAACAATTTATTAAAATTGTTAAAAATTCAAAAAAGGAAAGGTTTTATTTTGAATCTTTACATGCTTTCCTGGGAAGGTCATAATAGTTGGGGATTCATATAGTTTACATTGGGACATTTTATGCTTCTGGCAGCATATATCTGGGATGTCTTTATGCTGTCATTTGAGCTCTTTGTTACCTAGAGTGAGCTCTGTTACACAACTTGCTGAGTATTAGTCATAGAGGAAGAGAGAAAGAAAGGAGCAAGTTTCCAATCCATAGTTTGGCCTTTCTTGACCACTCTGTAAACCTCACAAGAGAGGTCTCGAGAAGACAGGGGAATGGATTTGTAAGGGTGCCATGCCTTAGGACGATGGGCACAAGACACGCAGCAGATTGCCATTTCTGCCTCCCAGCAGTTGGTCACACTTGGTAGATTAGACCCAATGGCTTAAGGAAACAAATAAGTGTTGGGGTACAGAAGATGCAATCTTTGCCCCTCCTGGACCCGCCTTACTCATGGTGCACCGGCCACTTGTCATCAGGATTGTCAGCTGAAACTGCCAGGGAGGTTGCACCATCAGTGACTGTGCAGAGCTGCAGAGGGAGGGCCTTGCCTGAGGTGAAACAACTCTGTGGTGCCATCTACCCTAGAATGCCATCTGGCATCAGGCCAGGGCTAGATCTAATTTGCTAAGATGAACCCACACCATCAGTGGGCTGTTTCTCTTGACACGTCCTGTTTCTTCCATCCTTGCAAGTTTCACCTGAGAGCCCTCCGTTAGCCCATTGCTGTGATAAGAATCCCTACTGCAGGTTCTGCTTCCAGAAAACTAATCAGAGGTGAGCGTTACTGGCACAGGAATTCTACCCTTCTCCCTAGGTTGGTGCAGCATTGGAAACACTTGAATCACTCATTCCACCCACCATGTATGGATGATATGTAGTAAAGAGTTAACTCAGCAGGCCTAGGTTGTTCCAAACCTGCACATTCCAAAGAAAGGTCTGGCTCCTAGCTGGTTCCTGATGATCACCTCTAAGCCCTTTGGATGTTCTGTCTTATAAGGATGTCTTTGTTTAGCTAGGGCCTTAAGTCAAGGCAGATAGTTGATGCTCACAATAGTAGGATCTTGGGGCACACAGTACTTAATCTCTAGAGAGGCTGATGGCTGAGCAATTAAGGTCAGCCATGTGGACACTGTGTGTCTATGACTCCCAGTAAAAACCCTGGATACCACAGCTTAGGCATTCTTCCCTAGTGACGACATCTTGTGCATGTTGTCATACAATGTAGCTAGAACTCCACAGAAGACAGCAGCTGGATACTTCTGCCTGGTCTTCCCAGGACTCTTTCCTAGGCAATTCTTCTGCTAATTTTAAATGCTTCCCTGCCACTCCCCCCCCCCCGCACCCTGCCACTGAAATGGTACATAAACATGATATTAATGGCTTTTCCATGTTTTGAGTTCTTTTAGCAAATCACTGAAAATGAGAATGGTCTGAGGGAATCTCCAACACAATGATGACTCTGATTAGTGAGACCAGAAAGACCCTGAGCTGTGCTCAGGCTATTCTAGGGGAGTACATCCCATGAATTCAAAGGTAGGTCAAAGTGAGTATCTATCTATTTATCTATCAATTATCTATCTACCTATCTCTCTATGTGTCTGTCTCTCTATATTTGTGTTTCTTTCCATATCACTCTCTGTATCTATCTGCATCTCTATGTCTTTCCCTATATTATCTCTCTCCTCTCTCTCTCTCTCTCTCTCTCTCTCTCTCTCTCTCTCTCTCTCTCTTTCTCTGCAGCTTCCTGTTCCTGGTGACAAGCCGTGATACAATCATAATTGCCCCTATTGTCAGCTGGCCTCTTCTGACTTAATTCTCTTTGCAGGGCAGTGTGAAAGTTAGATGTGGCAGAAGTCATATAAGCTTTCACTGGCCTCTGGCCTGACCCTTACTCTTCCACACCCTTCACCATGGCCTTGCCCTTCAATGATGACATGGTTTGTGAGGCTTCTTTGACAGATGTAAAGCTGACTCCATGGAGGAGAATATCCAAGTTAAGTTACCTCTCAATTCTAACAAAGGATTATGTTTATCCTACTGGAAGATCTTCAGGAAAAGTTTCTGGACCCTTATAGACTGATCAGAATTTCTGTCTTAGTCTCTGCTGTGCACACAAACTCAGATAGAAAAGGGATGGTTCCCTGAGCTCACATGGGTCTCTGTGCCCTGGATCACTGTCTGAAACCTATAGCAGGTTAGGCTTGCAAAGGAGACAAGTAGTCCCTCAGATCCATTCTAGGTAAAGCTTCTGCCCAGGTGATCATTTTGGCTCTGAAACGAGACTGTGGGCTTTCTCTTCAGGCTTGTGACTCCCCGGTCTTGAAGGCCACTATCTCTTCAATCCTAGCAAGCATCTGGTAATGGACTAACTCCTCCCATATCTACATAGCTGCATCCCCACACACCCAGACCTACTCACTCTCATGGTTCCTTCCATGGAAGGGCCACCCATAGTCTGGTTATCTGGCTAAACCTTTGGGGTTTCTCTGGCATAGGCAACTCAACCACAGGGTTTTCCTGAATATGAGGGTGCTACACTTCAGGGTATCTTGCAAGACCCATGGCTAGACTGTGGCCTTGCTGCCAAGAACTCAACCCTCAGGGCAGTCCACATTCCAAGCTTTCACAGCTTCCACTGTTCTCATGTGGACAACAATGGACATTTCTGCCACTTCAAACAATGCCAAATGGCAGCACAGACATAGGTTAGGAAACTGGAAAGTTGGGAATTTGCAATGGAGGCAGCTATTGACCCTTCTATCACTCTCAGATTCACCTTTTGTCCTTCCCTGTCTTGGGAGGCTGAACCCTGGAATGTCTCTACTGGTTTATGTCTAAGTTGAACTAAAGGGAGGAAACTGGAAAAGGAAGATGCTCCCTCCCTGTCTTGAGTGAACCTTTCTAGAAGTGAGTTTGAATCCACAGCTACAGCTCTTATTCTGCCATCCTAACTGTCATCTGGCTCTGAAAATAGGCACAATGGTGGTAGTGGTAACTGCTCCCCACTGTGCCTTATCTCCATGACTCTCAGTATTCAGATCAGCTTCCTCTGCCCACAGCTTTGAAAAAGTCCTCTTGTTAAAGTCTCTTGAGCTGTCTGAATTGCACTTTATTTCTTGCTGGAGCCCTGACTGAGTGTCAACATTCATCCAGAACAGTAAGACGTACTGGTTTTCCAGGAGGCCCTCTTTCTCCTGGATTTCCTGGTGCACCCTAAGAAAAGAAAAAGAAAATGATAACTGTGATGAGCAAATAATCCACTCTACTCACACCCTCTGGACAACCTCTATATCTGCCAAGTGTAACTTGGTGGGAGGGAAAGAAAATCACATAACTGAAGATAGGCACCCAAAAAATTCACAGTTTTCAATGAAACCAAAGGATTCCCAGGAATCAGGCATCAGTGGCAAATGCTTAGAACAACCTATCCTGTAACTCTTGTCCTAAGCACAAAACATAAACCAGTCCATGCATAGACAGTGTGTGTATATAAGCATACACACACACACACACACACACACAGTCTTAAACCTCCCAATCCTTTCCCAAACACAAGGAAGGTCTGTATTTGAAAAGGAAGGTACTTTTATTGGACTATCTATAAAAATGTAATATTCAGAGGGGAAGCAGTTAAATTTGAATACATGGAAACAGAAATTAGAAGACAGTTTTCTTTTTCTGGAACAGAGCCCAAGGAAGGGAAAGGGATTTTATTATCCCTGCTTAATATGACCTAAAATTATATGGATGGAAAGATGCACGTGTAAGCAATAAATACTTCTGCTTCCTGGTGACATATAGCTTTGCCCTATAAGATTTCATCTATCCACTTGGTCATTAAGTATGGCTCAAGTAACTTCTGTGTGTAGCACACGGCTGAGCATTGAGGTCTTGGAGATGCAGAATACTCAAGGAGCTCAGATCCATTTGAGAGCACAAGCCAGATAATGAAGATAAGAAATGCTATCATTGTTATAAAGTGGGAAGCCTTGTGGGTAGCAGAGTTGAGCAGCAGGAGCTTGCTGGGCCCGGAAAGTGGAAAGCCATATGAACTCAATGAGCATCAGATGTGCATGTGTAATTCCCTTGAAGGGAGGGCACCAACACAGGGAGGGACCTTGAAGAAGTTCAGTGGGAAGGTCATACCTCATTTGAATAAAGCTGACTGGCTAGCTAGGTAAGAAAATTAAAGAAGGAACAGGAAACAGCATATGTGTGACTCAGGAATTTAAAAGGTTAGGAAAACACCATATAAAAAACTTTATATAAAAACATAAGGAATGAAACAATGCAAAATTATAAGCCACAACTGATAGGTGAGCAAAAGATGTTAAGTGAAGGCCCTGGAGCTTCCTAGAAATACTTGACTGAGCCTCAAAGCTGTCCATATGGTCTGGGGAGGCCAGGAGATGGTGACCAGTGGAGTGCCTCTAAGAATCTTAACTAAGCCCACGCCATTTCTCTTTACTTACGTCCTGGCCAGCTGGTCCCTGGGGCCCGGGCAACCCAGGTAATCCTCGGGATCCCTGATGAAAAATAAGACAAAACACCCCCAAATGTAAGCAAATAAAGCCCCTTTTGATTGGCAGCAGTTGGTTCTCATTGCGTAACAGGTCTGTTGTTATGAGGAACACAACACATGTGCCCAAAGCATCCCACTCAGAGATTTCTCATTTCACTATGTTCTGTGGAGATGGGCACGCTTCGTTCACAGAATGATCAGGAAACCCTTGCTTTGAGCCTGAAGACCCAGGCCCCATCTATAGGCCCCTTGCTTGAGTGGAAGAGACAGCTACTGTGGTGAGCCAGGCCTGAGCTTGAATACTGTCTGTTCTCTTGCACAGCCTATTGATAACCAAGGCTGCTGACAGGCTAAATAAATTTTCTTGCACAAGGCCCAGCACAAGGCTCAGTTCCTATGCAACATTCCCATTCTCTTGAAAATTTCTGGACAAAATCAGAAAATTGCACACATATCTTTCACGAGGGATCTAATTTCCTGTAAGACTTTTCCTTAAATAGATCTGCAAATGGAAATCAGTCCTTCCTCACAGCAGGTGCCAAATTTATGGCACCTGCTGCATGAGAGCTGGCCCTACCTGTTCTGGGGCCTTGGCAGGCCTTCCCTCACACCTACCGTCCATCTAGCATCTCTTCTTCCTTACCTCTACTTTGCATAACTTGCTCTGGAATCTCATGCTTTATCAATTAATTGTTCTGAACCTCAATTTCTTCATCTATCCAAATGGGTATAAAAATCCCTGTCCTCCTTATTCTGAAACAATATGAATGAATGTAATTTAAAATGTGTGCACATGCTAAAAGTGACAATATCATCCCAGCTGCTAAGATGTAGCACCTCTTCCAGTGGAGTAAGTTTATAAGAACTTATATTTTCCTGGTAAATACATGCAGAGGCAAATGGTCAGTGGTTGCTACTCCTGAAGACAAATCCTTCCTGAAAGCTCTCTTGGTTTAGCATAAAGTGAGCCCATCACATCTCTACAAGGCCTCATAGCTCTCGCTATGCCCATGCTGCAAACGAAGAGAAATCGCCTCACTTGTTCGTGGCTATGTGGCCATGGGGTAAGGCCAGAATTCTTAGTCAGGTCTTCTGGCAATTTGATTAAATTCATCAAGGCATGGCTATACTTGTGTGATGGACAGATGCCAGAAAGCAAAGTCTTTCTCAGTTTGCCCAACTATGTTGGATTAGATAACCCCTCCAACTCTTTCCTGCTCATTTTCCTATCTGTCATATCCTAGTTCATAGATCAGTGCTCATACTTTACAGAGTCTACACTGTCTAATGTTAGGAATGTCCATAAACTACTTTGGTTGTTGGTATCTCCAGCTTAAAACTGCTTTTATTAGAGCAGAAATCCTCCCATAGAGACCCAGTCTTTCATTCAAAGCATACTGTACCGGGGGCCCTTTGTCTCCTGGTGGTCCTGAAGGGCCCTAAGAAACAAACAAACAAATTAGCAAACAAAGTAGCAATTAAATGCTCATTTAAATATGCTGCAGAGTTTATTTCTAAGCCAGGTCTTGGATTGTCCTAGAAGGTGTCACTAACTTCTTTCTATCTTTAAGCCACATTGTCATAGCCCTTTGCCACCTGCTCACCCACAAACATTGCTCACAGAAATCTCTTGGGAACATGCTGCATTTGTCCCATCCTTACTCCTACATCACTTCTGAGACCTAGACCCACCTCTTCTCTGTAGCTCAGGTGTGCCCCAACTTCCCTCTGTTGCACCCCCTTAGAAAGGAGCTGGCTTTTCCTGCTTAAATGGGCCAGGTACTTCAAGGTCACACTTAAAAACATTAATGAATAATTTCAGGTCTGGCAGGAGTACATCTGCCTGTGCCCCAAGCCTTTGTTACACTGGAAGACTTTTGCACCGTAGACTGTCCTGCCTTTGTACCTAAACACACCTTTGTCACACTTGGGTTCTCACTTTAGATATCTCTGCCTTGGAAAGTCTTACAGAGTGAAGTTAGTCTCACTTCCTGCCCTCATTTCAGTATACTCAGTATCCCCCAGTAGCAAAGTCTGGGAGAATGTCCTAAGTGTTCTCAAGAGATAGAAAAGATTTCACATGATTGGGATGATGGAGTAGCTCAAGTGGTAAGTGCACCTGCCTACTAAGTGTGAGGACCTAAGTTCAAACCCCAATGTCCCCCAAAAAGGTTAAGCACAAATAATTTCACGTAAATGCTAAGGTTCCTGCAGTATGATGAGTCAGATAACCTACTAGCCTTCTGTCTAAATGTGACCTGGCGATGACTGATAAAAATAGAGTGGGCATCATTTTAAGTGCATAGTTGAGCAATAAGGAAAGCAGTGGAAAATTCCTCAGATCTAAAGAAAGGGGCACCCGAGAAGCAGTGCCCCAAGAGCACGGTGGTTTGCCTAGATGGGAGCCAGACTCTATAGGCTATGCCAGTGCAGGAAATGAATCTGTGGGCTCTTTGAACCAAGAAATTGAAAGTCAGAATGCCAAGTAAAGGCAGGACCTTTAAAGAGGTTGAATAAGGCTCCACAAACTTGTTCGTTTTTGTTTACGCAGCACTGGGGATAAAACTCAGGGCCTCACACTCACTAAGCAGGTGCTATACTACTTGAGCTACACCCCCAGGCCAGGGCTCCACAAACTTGTTTCTGCAATGGGACAGTTATAAGGTGCCATATCCTCTGTACAACAGGGTTTCCATCTACTCAACTCTGCCATTGACTAGATGATCTCCATAGACACAAGCACTGTGTCTGTATTCTGCTTCCATATGCATTGTACACTGAGAGTGCAAACAGTAAATGAGGAAGCAGTTCTCTATCCAGAAGCATTTCAGCTAAGGGAGAGAGGAGAATGGATGGAACGAGAATAGTGCCAATTGTCCACAGTCCCTTGTTATCTACCGCTCAGAATTCAATCTCACTCCAGAAATCATTGAAACAGTTGTATACACCCATGCACAACACTTGCTCAGAAGACTGGCTAGGGAAAGTCAGAGGTGAAAAACTCATGGTTTTCATGAGTTAAGAGAAACCTCAAGCTATTGATGTACATGTCAGAAATGGTCCCAGCTGCTTCACACACAGCCTCACTTTATCTCCTCTGGAAGCCTGCATGCTGGGTATCTCCAACATTCTCTTGCTACAGATGGAGAAACGGAAGCTAAAAGCCATTAATTAACTGTGGCAAAGTCAAACAGGTAGAATTATGGGCTCAGAATGACACCTCTGGTCTACTTGGCCCTGTCAAGTTAGAGTAAGTCAGTGGTACACATGGACCTGATTACATGCATCTGAAATTTTGTTCATCTGAAAGCAGTTCCCAATGAGGCTGTATACTTATTATTCCAGGAAAGGGGGTAAGTGACAGTTTGTTACTGGCATAAAGAATGTTGGCATGTCATTAGCATCATTTTTGTTTTCAAAATTAAGTTAAATTAAATTCCAGACTCTATCTCAAACATTTAACTCATTTATTAAAGTAGACTCCAAATTCTTTCTTATGTCATTTAATATATAATCTACTTTGACAGATGGATTTTTGCATTCAAAAGTCTTCATTTAAAATCTTAGCCTTATCAAATATTAGCTGCTTGACCTAAAATAAGCTACTTAGCCTCTCTGAACTTTAGTTTTCCCAACTATAACATAAAGCTAGATTATCACCTTCCCTGATGCTATCAGAAATAAAAGAAGATATTGAGTAGAGAAGCAGCCCAGTGCCTGGCCCATAAAAGGCATCCTCATAGTTATTTTGTTTGTCTACTTGTAAAAAATGTCCTTCTTAAATCAGAAGCCTAAATGTCTTTGGAAATTACAATAATCTTTCCAAGATTATGCCCATCAATGTGTTTATTGAAGAGTCACTTTACTAACTCCCAGATTTCAGACAGTGATACCAGTTTCCCCCAAGAGAAACTACAACTCCTTGAATTAATGACTAGTCAGAGATCTGACCCAAAAAGGTACCCAACAAATCTAGAACATCTTGCCACGGCAGACAGCAAGGAAACCATCAAAGACTGCTCGGCTTGTGTCAAAACCACTTGAAGTCAACTTGCTTAGCCTCCTCTTGGCATAAGATAAAACAATTTGAACGTCAAAAGGAAGATTAACCCCAATATTTTAAAGTGCTCAAGTACATTTAAATCCATGAATTCAAACTTATTCTTTAAAAAATAAACAAACATCTAACTGATGATCTTAGCAAGAATTAGGGAGCCAAGTCATTATTTGAAAGCCATCGATGGAAAAGGCTCAAGCATTTATATTTTGCCTTCCAAATTGGGTATTGCATAGACTGGCTATGCAAAGGGTAAATGAAGAAATGCTGCTTTACACAGAAGTATTCCAGTAATGAAGAAGAATTGATAGAACCAGAATAGCACCAATTTGCAGCCTTTGATGTGCTGATTGATAGAAACACTGGACATCAAAAACCACAAAAGGCACTATGTGTCTCCCACCTGTGAAGTCTTGCCAAAAAACATCAAACATGGATCTCATCAAGCCCCTATACCAGAGTACCAAATAATTAAAACTACAGGGACAACAAAACACACTAAACTTTCAAATTAGCAAGTCCCAGGCTGTTTGAAACTCCAAGACCAAAAAATAAACAAATAAACCTGATTTCATCAATTAAAAACTGTGAACAGGTAAAGGTGGGTGAAAACATTCGGTGTATTTTCTACACAAGTACGAATATGGAACACTGAAATCTGTTGACATTATTTTAGGAAGGGGCAAGGGAAGAGGGAGAAAAATGAAGGGGATGAAGCAAAGCATGGTACGCTGTACACACACATGGAAATCTTTCTCTGGGACTGGCTTATTTCAGCTAACAAGATGATCTCAGTTCCATCCATGTTCCAGCAAATGACATAATTTCATTCTTCTTACAGATATCTGTTTACTTGGCTCTTGGTTCAAAGAAAGAAAAACTACTGAAGCATGACATTTATGAACAACTAGAAATGTGAACATTGAGTGGATATTTGATGGAGAGACGAGTTTGTGTGGAGTGTATGCTAATGAAATTGTAGCTACATTTATAAAGTTCTACTTTAGGAAAATACATATTAAAATTAACTACATGTGTATACATAAAACTATAGTTAGATGACATGCAAATTTGATATAAAATTTATAAAATGTATACCTCCTAAGTGAAGAATATGCTCAGCCTATAAGCAGCCTCAAAAGATACAAAAATACTAAGCATTCTACAAGGTGAAAAACTGATGTTATGCAGAAAATGCAGAAAAATAAAAGAAACCTAAAATTTTATTTCAACTAATGTTAAATTAAGAATTTGCTTATTTTAATCAATAAAGATTTCATTTAAGCTGACAAAACTTCTTGTCTTTCAGAAACATATGCTAAAATATTTAAATATAAAATATGTGTCTGGGATATGCTTTAAAATAAGAGAAGCTAGGAGAATGGTGGAAGGGAAGCAGTGACCACTGGCCTGGGTCTCCAGGTTTGTGATATGTGGCTATATGGGGATCGTTTTACTATTTTGACTGCTGTTGGGATGCCTGGCATTCTCAATGGTAAATATTTACATATGCAGTCATGCACTCATAACAATGTTTCCGTTAATGACAGACCACCTACACAATGAAGTCCCATAGATTATATCACTTTGTGATGTCACAGCCGTCCTGTCTGTGTAAGCACACTCTAATGTTTGCACAATGACAAGATTGCCCAAGTCATTTCTCAGAACCTATCTCTGTCTTTAAGTGACACATGAGAGTACACATGTACACGTACACACAAAAATGCATGTTACATGTTACCTATGTGAATGCATACACACTACCACACTGTTGGTGTTTGCTGATAATTGCAGTTAGTGACAACGGATAACTGAAAGCCCCAAGAAGTTTTAGATGTGCTCAACACTTTCTCTTTCTTCTCTGCTATAATGTTCTAAAAATCAGTTTTGTTTCCTCACAAACTTGATCACCTCTCTCTTCTTCTGCCCATATACATATGTCATAACATAACACACATTTTTGTTCTCCATAATCTTTTATCTGAATGCCTACAATGTGCACAGGCCCCATGTGGCATGCTGGGGACAGATGACTTTAACTCAAGGAACCTGCCAAGAGGTAGTGTTTGAGGTGTGAGGAGAGCCACTCCCAGGAAAATTAATCAGGACTCAGTGCATCATAGTTCGACATGCCAAGAGTCAATGTCAACTACTCAAGAGAGTTTGGGAAGTCTGTGCCCAGAGGGAAACAGGTGAGAAGAGGTCTGAGGGCTGGGGTGGGTGCTTCACAGGTAGAAAACATGACGAAGACAAAATCCCAAAGAAGAGGACACCAAGCGAAGAAGGTATGCCAGCCTTTCTGCACAGAAGAGGAGGACTGCAGCCAGGAATTTCAGGGGATGCCAGGATCTGGCACCAGGAAAAGCTTGGTCATCTCCA